AGTACAGAGAGTAACAGGTAGGGTGGTTTGGGGCAATACAGAGAGCAACAGGCAGGGTGGTTAGGGGCAGTACAGAGAGTAACAGGCAGGGTGGTTTGGGGCGATACAGAGAGCAACAGGCAGGGTGGTTTGGGGCAGTACAGAGAGTAACAGGCAGGGTGGTTTGTTCATCCCGCTAATAATGCTAACTCATGGGACTGTGATTTTCTCCACTTAAGAACACTAAAAAGAAAAAAAACAACTACAAACAATTTAAAAAGAAAATGACCAAAAAAACTAATAAAGTAAGATCAAGCAAGTGCAGTTCTTGGACTGAAAATATTCAAAGTGGTAAAAAAAATATAATATGGATATTTCAGAGGTTCTTTTTAAAAACCACTATTAAACCCACAATTCTGGATAACGTGCCAGTCTATACCTCTCTTTTTCAATTCTTCCGATGGTGACAGGAAGAGAAGCGAGTGGACAGCATCTGTTGGTTGCCCTGGCGATGACATCAAGCAACGGATGAGCAACATTAGGAAACATCCTCAGCAGATGAAAGATGCGATTCTTCACCAACAGCTGTCCAAAGAAATATTTGGGGATCACATAAATAACTACACATCAACAGAAATGTTGAGTGCAAGTAGAAATTGAAAACTTGTGTTAAAGGTAGTACAGTGGAACGCCGCTACAACAAACATCCCGGGATCCATAGAAAGTGTTTGTAATGACGATCGTTCGGTATAGTGATTTTGAATCAACAGTTCACTCTTTTGACCAATAGTGAACTGGCATTTCTCAAATACTGCGGCTACACGAGGAGTCGTCACGAAACTTTAGCAACTGGTGGTTTTCCCTTTTACTCCTTGGGGAAATAATAGCGATCTATCGCTCTCCGACATTCAAACATGATGTAACCTTGGGTGGTTTGATGTTCAGGAATTAAAAGTGACCCAAATAGCATTTAATAATCCGTAGCTTTTGTACATTAAAACCGGGAGCCACGGATGATGTTCACTATAGCCGAATGTTCGGTTTAGCGGTGTTCATTATAGCAGCGTTCCACTGTATATACAACATTTGCAAACATAAAAAACCAAAACTACCAAATTATGGTGAACTACCTTACCTGACTGTGACTGAATAGTCTCAAGCATCCTGTGAAATCATGGCACCTCGTGTGCTGTCATTTTCAAGACAAGTGGAATTTTGGTAACGATTCCAACGATGGTTAGCCGAACCATCGTTAGATAAAACTGACTTTTTTCAAATACTGCCCCCAGTTTACCAAATTGAGTGAGTCCACATTTTGTTTGCAATCAGTTACACATCAGCAAACAGGTGCAAGCCAGCTAGTCTGGTTCCTTGACCTGACAATTCCCCGACGTCTACAAGTGCTATGTTTTGTCTGAAGTAGGGTCAAGGAACCAGGCTTCAAGAATAGTTTTTTTTCCCTTGATTTTCCCCAGCATCTTTGAACTAAAAATATAAACAGGTCAGTGTATACACTATTTGCTATAAAATACTAACCCCCAAATCCATTCATGTCTGAAAATAAGAGCAAATGTTGTATATGACCTTTAACGTTCATTGTGTATGTGACCCCTTCATTTAGAGCCTTATACATAAAGTATATCATTTACATGCCATATTTAAGTTTAAAAAAAGTGTGTGTGTGTGTGGGGGGGGGGGGGGGGGGGGGGGGGCAAAGGAGCCTCGTCCCCTTCCCCCCCCCCCCCCCCACTTCCAATGCCTTTGATGTCTATACCTGTTCATAGTGCTCCTCAATGTTGGTTATTGACAGATCCACTTCACACAACAGTCCAATCAACAGACGGAATTTCTCAGATGTTGATGCGCATTTAACCTGGGAAGAAATAACAGAAATGATGTGGAAGGGTGTCATTTGCAGGAGTTATGCTAACATGGTCCCCCCCCCAATGTTTGAAAAAAAGTTACAATTAGACAAAGAACCCCAAACCAAGCATTTAATCGGTTTTGTGAACATTATACTACGTGTAAAAAAACAAACCAACATGTTCCACTTTTGATTCTAAATAGCTCTGTTGTTTACCAATGGAATTAAACCAAAATTTCAGATCATGTAAACAAGGCAAGACAAATTATACAAAGCGAGTTTCATCAGCTTTGTGCACGAGGGTGAGATTGAATCGCCATAAGCAGAAAATACTCTCTTTCAGAATCTGCGACTTTTGACTAGGCGCCCTCAATGTCAATACAGCACTGGAGACGGTGGCGGAAGGCACGTGTTGCTGTCGCATGCTTCTGAAGAATGCAAGATCACCCCTGATGTCATTGCACGCCCCCTTGATCGTTTGGCGCAAGACACGATCGAGGAGGTGTGCAATGACATCAGGGGTGATCCTGTATTCCTTAAGAAGCTTTTAGCTGCAGCACGCACCTTCTGCCATCGTCTCCAGTGCTGTATTGACATTCTGAAAGTGAGTATTTTTTTCGTATTGAGTTCAAATCTCCCCCTCTTGCACAAAGCTGATGAAACTCGCTCCATAAAATGTGATGCGTCGTTTACATCAGTGTTGTAGTCGAGGCCACAACCTCCGAGGCCGAGGCCAAGGCCGAGGCCACAACCTCCGAGGCCAAGGCCGAGGCCGAGGCCACAACCGCGAGGCCAAGGCCAAGGCCGAGGCCACCACCTCCGAGGCCAAGGCCGAGGCCAGCTATCAAAACACGTAATAAAATATAAATGACTAACAGGGGTGTGAGTGACCACTGATAAATATAGCTGAAAACTGCTGAAAAAGGTGGTAAAAAGCTGAACTTTGGAATCTCCTGTACTTTTGTACATAGCAAGTGAGGGAAAAAAAGCTAAAATCCAAACCAAAAAAGCTGAAATCAGCTTTAAAGCTGAGATTTCACACCCCTGGACTAAAACAAGGATAAGATTATGTTGGAGTTTCAACATCTTTTTAGTTGAATTCACTGAGTTTTGAAGTGCCTGGCTTACAAATTTACAGCTTGCATTGGGTTTCCTCTTGTAGGGAGTCCGGCGAATTTATTTTTTAAAGAAAGAAATTTTAAGTTTTGTATCACTGAAAGCAAATTACACAACAAAATCAATGGCGTTTGAATCAGGCTCATAGGTGTTTGCCCTTTGGAGATACAACAATTTAAATGGCCAAATTTTGAGTTTCTAATCTGTAAGATTTACATCATTTACTTTTAGCATGTTTTATAAATCTTATTTTCAAAACCCATCAAAATGCTTAATATCATAGGAATCCCCATTAAATAAACAACAACTTGATTTTTGAATCAGGTTTTTACCACTCATAACCAAAAAGTTACGACCCCCCCCCCCCCCCGACCTTCGCACTGTCCAGGCGCGCGCCGAGCAAACACCGCGATGCGACCAGACAATGCCAGACGGCCCGCCGTTATGCACGGGCAAAGCATAGTTCCAATCCCGCTCCACACAACGGGATAAGTGTCGCATTATCACTGTTAATACCGCGGTACCAGACAAAGTCTTGCAATGGCCAATCCCGCTCCAAACAACACGGCAACATGGAACATGCGTGCATGATATCACTCAGTTCATCAAAATGACCATGAATTCTCGGATCATCCGATTTGAATCCAATGGCTTCGAAGAATTTTAAGATCATGGCAAGAGGTAGGGAGTCCAGAGGTTTTTTTGGCCGTATATCTGTAACCACGCAAAATTATTCAATTTCAAACCGTGCTTATACATGTAATAAGTATCAACATGGCTCTAAAATAAAAGTATACGGGTACCACGAGGAATACTGACTCCTATTATTAAAACATTCATTCAGAACTTTGCATTCATTTGGATGGCAAAACGAATTCTGAAATCGCGCTTTCCATATCGACCATTTGCGCCAAACATTACCGTGTGAGCCGGAACTTTCTTTTTAAAATCTACTTGATAAATTGTAATTGTTTTTATTATATCTTTATGAAAAAAAAAATGATACGGACTAGTACACTCGATCGTACCCAGAAAGTTCAGACTTTTACTGAAACAGTGGCCTATAAAAAGAAATGATTAAGCTTGCCGCACCTTGCCGCAATTCATTTTTAAAGGTCGGCGAAACGAGAAAATTGTGTACAACACTGCAACCAGACCAGTCTACTACCACATGTTATTGTACGCAAATGGGATTGGTTCCAGACTTATGTAGTCTGGCACGCGGTAACAGTTATAACGCTTGCAAGCACATGGAAAGCTGAAGCGCAGGCTAGGCGAAGATGCTACGTACGTGAGTACGTTCAATGCAACCATTTCCAGTTCATTCGTGCGTACATTGTATATGCGTTCGTTTCACGGAACCCACTGCGGCAGAATCTCGAGGGTTTGATACGGTAAAAAAAAAAATTAATTAGAATAGAAAACACATCAAAATGGGCGGCCTCGAGCCGGCCTCGACCGATTCGCCGAGGCCGGATTTTTTGTTTTTATTGAATTCACTTTTTGTGACATCGACGGAAAAAAATCCACCTACGTTTATAGATATTGAATGATTTCTTTCCAAAAAATTAAATTATCGGCCGTCAGACAATAACTCTGCTCTCGCAAAGCGGGTTCTTGTGCCCAAAATGAAAGCCCTTATTCAGTGAGTTGAGATGCCCAAAATCAGAATAAAATACTTTTTGTCACAAAACAAAACAATTTAGAATTGGTAAGGAGAAAAAAACCCTCTATTTATGAAGAGCATTGGGTATATCACCTTTATGCAAGTTGCATCAATCACAGGACAAAACGAATACATGTTGCTGAATGCATGATGACTTGGAAGCGCACAAGTTTTCAAATTGATGTGCATTACTCAAGAACGCGTGCTCTTTTTGCCCCATGAAATTGGCACAAATTAACAGTAAAAGTACTTAAAGTTGAACACAAGGTGTGTATATGTAAAACAAGCTTATGCAAAAATGTCACTGAAATTGGTGTTTTGGTTTCTGCAAGTAAATGTAGGTAAAGGACAAATCTGCAAAGGAGAAAAAATGCAAATATTTGTCTACCTGGGACTAGGTACATGTATTTACTCAGCTGGTTCTGTAGTTTCAGATCCATGTTACAGCCGGAGGACCGACCGCCAGCCAGATTCAAGTTGGACTGAGTTGAGTCAACATCATTTTCTGAGGAAATAAAATAATAATTTATTCACCTAGGGCTAAACCTATGAAATCCATTTACTAGGCATATTACCAAGTTGGAAATTTGATGCAGAAAATTCAATTGTACCAGTACTGTATTTGAGTGGGGTGGAACTAAGCCTTACTTGTATATCCATTCAAAAGAAATTGTTTTAGGAGAGGGCATATGAAATAATAACGCCATGGCAATAAGGTGTTTCCTGGTAATGTGCGTAATCTTATTCGCGGGGCACAAAGAACACACGTTGCTAGACGCGGGCGCACTTTGGATTGAACGCATGTTGACTTGGAAGCGCCAAAACTTTCCAATGACGATGTGTACACAGAACACGTGTAAAATTGCCCAGCGGGCAAGATGGCACATATTACCGTGAAACACTTTATCGTTATGACAGACGTAACGTGACTTTCAACTGCTATTGTTACAAAAGTGTCTGGTTCCCTGACGTAATTGACCTATCGCGGTAGAATCGCTTTAGAATGGCGTCAACGCAGTTTGTGAAATATTATCCAATTACATGATTTGCAGATGGATGCGGAACGCGCAAAATCTGAGACAATAATACTTAGTGTACACAAATTCTGTAGGGTTGTGAAGAGGCTTGGCTAACTTGCAAACAGCGATAGGTCAATACAGTATTCAATGTCACGATCTTTGGCTGTTGGAATCAACAAAATGGTTCTATGACTTTATTTCCCTATTTCAACAAATCCTCCAATTTTCAAAAAAGAAAATGAAATCTACTTAAATAAAAATTTGATTAAAACCTGCTCTATACATTTTTTTTTTCAAATTCCATAAATATAGTATTTGAAAATTGCATTACAGCTGTCGTAACAATGGCCACTACGATTTTACAAAGTTAGCTAAATGGAGATTAATAAAAGGTTTGACTTCTGCTTACGCTTCTGAGGCTAAACCGCCTCAGAGTCTGTGGTCACCAATTGCACCAGGATACAACTGTGGCATTTCAGAATTGGCTGTTTTTTGCACTGGTTTTGAAGGCTCAGTGCACCAATGTCCCACAGATGTTTGCACCTGATGCACTGTGTTGCATCTGACAGGGTTAGGGTTCACAAGGGGATAAAAGTTCTACGCAAATCAAATAAACTCGGTGATGAAGTTTAGTTCTACTGACATATCAGGAGGTACAGTAGAAATCTACTGCCTGGAAGCTGTGGTGACTGGGTATAAATGAGACAAAATAGGCTGCTGTTTTACCATTTGAGCCAAGAAACATTCGGATGCCAGCTTCCTGAAGACAGGGATGAGGTCGACAAATGTGTATGTGCCGTCACAGAGGGGCGGGGGTAAGGATTGACGATACTGATGGCCTAGCGTCAGCAGGTGATGGGCGATGTACATGCAGTTGTTGTGGTGGAGTGCGCACTCCAGAGGTAGCTTTTGCTGTTTCACAAGAAAAATTTTGCAAAAATAATAAAGAAGTTAAGATTTCTGTAAAGAATTTTTAAGACAATATCAACATTACTTTGGTTGTTGTTTTCATCCTTGCTTTAACCTGTTTACGCTGGGATTATTTTGACAAGAACGGAACGAGACGCGGGATATATTTTCACTCGACCTCAAGCCAGGCCGGTTGAAGCCATCACCCTCGGGCAGCACACTCATATTTCAAGCCTTGCTCGCTGCGAGTGGGTCGCTGACAGATATTTCCAGACTCTCTCCCTGCGTGTTTATCTGTCATCGGTTCGGAGTACCCAAAACTTTTGCGTGTATACACGGCCTCTGGCGCAAACTGGTTAAAGCAGGCATGCAATTTTTCCTTGGATCCACTGATTTCCTCGTTATTTACTTCTCATGAATAATTATAATTATAATAATAATAATGCCATTACAAATTGAAAAACACTGAACAAAGTCATGTGTGGTTTGGAATTTCTTCGTTTTTTTCAAAATTCCCAGTTGCATGCCTGTTAAAGGTACATGGAAACATTTGCTTCTGTGCATTTTTTTTTTATTTGGCTCAACAAGCAGATGACAGTGAAATACCAGATGACTGTTCGAAAAAGTCTAGAAGTTGACTCACCAGACTATCTCTGTGGTATGTGGGTACGACATCGCAAAATATCTCAAACATGTTTCGCACTGTGTAGAACAGTTGGATGGCACTGCAAACATAAAAATAAGACATTTTCAGGAATCCTTTAGTTGAATATTGTGCACATTGACCTATAAAATGTTCAACACATTTCAATTTGCATGGAAAAAAGGCACTTTTGCTTTTTCACATGATATGGGACAAATTCCAACACAGGGGAGTGTGGCAAAGTGGTTTGGGTTCGTGACTCTTGATCAGAGGCTCAGAGGTTTGAATCCAGCTGCTGGCCATATGCTGTGTCCTTGGGCAAGCCACTTTACCCCCACTTGCCTCTCTCCACCCAGGATGTAAATGGGTACTAGAATCAGCTGGGGAGTAACCTGCGATGGGCTAGCATCCCATCCAGGGGGAGTAGAAATATTGAATCATTTCATACCAAGGAAACCATAAATAACGGCTGGCCCGATGGGCCATATTGGCTCACGACAGACTTTACTTTACTATGGTGAGAATAGCATAAACACATCACATCAGGCAGTTGGCATGGGTGGCGCAGTGCGTAAAGCACTTGCCTCTCACTGCTGTGGCCTGGGTTGATTCCCGGATCGGGTAATATGCGAGTAGAGTTGTTAATTAATTAATTCTCTCCTGTGCCACGAGGGTCATACGATGGCTGCTTGAGGCGCTTGTACATAACATGCCTTCGGCTCAACCACGTTGTAGCCGTGTCCTTTACAATTCAGCTTCTGTTGCGAGTAAGGATGATTAGCCCCCCAAATTAATCTATGTCCAACTCACCATTGTGGTGTGTTACTAGCAGCTTCTTGTAATGTCTGGTAGGCTAGATTAACAAGACACTCTATGCTTTCACTGACTGCACACTCAGGCAGTGCAAAGATACTCTCGCTGACGTGGCACTTGTCCTGAAAGAAGTAAAAAAAAATTACATTGCAAGTGTCCTCAAGTGAAATTTCATATTTAATACGATAAGTTCATTCAACACATTTCAACAATAAATATTTCATTTAATGTTTTAAACTTGCAAGAACTCTTAAAGGCTGATTAGAATGACAAAATCAAATCCAGTTTAGTCTTGAAGCGCACAATTTCCAACAAATTCTAACCTTGGCATCTTGTTTTTGATCTTTGACGTTCTTGTTGTCAACCTTCATTGTACCGACTCTCTTTGTATTGTGCAGCTCTCTCTTCATCAGCTTGCGGGCTTCAACTATCAGCTCTTGACACTTTCCAAAAATAAAATAAACCGAACATGAAAACTGTCAGGGATGAAGTCAAATCCATCACAAGTTCAGCCACAAGTAAATCACAAGTCCAGTCACAAGTCCAGTCACAAGTCAAGTCACAAGACCAGTCACAAGTCCAGTCACAAGTCCAGTCACAAGTCCAGTCACAAGTCTGATTTTAAACTGATTTTTACATTTTTCTTGTTAATTCTAATAATTACTTTGTGTTTAAAGGGATTTTCTATAATTATGTTACTTTGTAAGCGCCCTGGAGCATTGTTTTTTCGATGGATTGGGCGCTATATAAATCTTTGCTTATTATTATTATTATTAAGTCCAGTCACAAGTAACAGTGGATGAACAATAAAGGAATGCCTTTGTCAAAACTCTTGTAAATTGCTTGTGGGTTGAATTGGGACTGGAGGACTTGTGATGGACTGGACTACATCCATGAACAAAAGTTTGAAGAAGAGGTTAAAAATTGATGAAGATTCAAACTATGCAGAATATGGTGGATTGCTGTAGTATTGCATTAAGCAGGAGCATTTGTGTTGAAGTCCACTCTGGGAAAACTTACAAAAAGTTTTCATCATAGGCTTTTGAGCGACTAGAATGTCCTTGTCCTGAAGGCAAAAACGCTTTTTACCCCAAAGTTCAGAGCAGTTTATTGATGCATTCCAAAATAATTGTGTCACCCTCCAGCATAAAACCAGAGCCAATTTTTGAAAACCAGGATTTTGAGCTTATTGGAAAGGACATTAAATGAACTTTCCAATGATGTATAGAATATGGGAATCGGACAAAATCTGACGGAGCTATTGATTTTTTCAGTTCCCAAATATCATCAACATTCTATGTATTACAGGTTGTATTTCAAAATGCGGCCGTACAATTTCCGAGGATCATATGTGAATGAGATGAACCAAAGATTCAGAAGGGACCAAACAGTCCAACTGTTGCCATTCAAAAAATGTTCCCACAAGATCAGTGTTGGAGGTCTCGAGGCCGGCCTAAGCCTCGAGGCCGATTTTCATGACCTCGGCCTTGGCCTCGGAGGTGCAAGGCCTCGGCCTTGGCCTCGGAGCCTTCCGGCCTCGGCGAATCGGACGAGGCCGGCTCAAGGCTGCCCATTTTGATGTGTTTTCTTTTCTAATTAATTTTAGTTTTTTACCGTATCAAACCCTCGAGATTCTTCCACATTGGGTTACGTGAAACGAACGCATATACAATGTACGCACGAATGAACTTGAAATGGTTGCATTGAAAGTACTCACGCACGTAGCATCTTCGCCTAGCCTGCGCTTCAGCTTTCCACGTGCGTGCAAGCGTTATAACTGTTACCGCGTGCCAGACTACATTAGTCTGGAACCAATCCCATTTGCGTACAATAACATGTCGTAGTAGACTGGTCTGGTTGCAGTGTTGAACACAATTTTCTCTTTTCACCTCTGTACCCCGACCTTTAAAAATGATTTGAGGCAAGGTGCGGCAAGCTTAATCATTTCTTTTTATAGGCCACTGTTTCAGTAAAAGTCTGAACTTTCTGGGTACGATCGAGTGTATTAGTCCTTAACCTTTTTTTTTCTAATAAAGATATGATAAAAACAATTACAATTTATCAAGTAGATTTTATTTTTACACGGTGATTTAAAAGAAAGTTCCGGCTCACACGGTAATGTTTGGCGCAAATGGTCGATATGGAAAGCGCGATTTCAGAATTCGTTTTGCCATCCAAATGAATGCAAAGTTCTGAATGAATGTTTTAATAATAGGAGTCAGTATTCCTCGTGGTACCCGTATACTTTTATTTTAGAGCCATGTTGATACTTATTACATGTATAAGCACGGTTTGAAATTGAATAATTTTGCGTGGTTACAGATATACGGCCAAAAAACCTCTGGACTCCCTACCTCTTGCCATGATCTTAAAATTCTTCGAAGCCATTGGATTCAAATCGGATGATCCGAGAATTCATGGTCATTTTGATGAATTGAGTGATATCATGCACGCATGTTCCGTGTTGTTTGGAGCGGGATTGGCCATTGCAAGACTTTGCCTGGTACCGCGGTATTAACAGTGATGATGCGTGGACACTTATCCCATTATGTGGAGCGGGATTGGAACTATGCTTTGCCCGTGCGTAATGGCGGGCCGTCTGGCATTGTCTGGTCGCATCGCGGCGTTTGCTCGGCGCGCGCCTGGACAGTGCGAAGGTCGGGGGGGGGGGGGTCGTAACTTTTTGGTTATGAGTGGTAAAAACCTGATTCAAAAATCAAGTTGGTGTTTATTTAATGGGGATTCCTATGATATTAAGCATTTTGATAGGTTTGGAAAATAAGATTTATAAAACATGCTAAAAGTAAATGATGTAAATCTTACAGAATAGAAACTCTAAATTTGGCCGTTAATTTGGTTTTGGTTGTATCTCCAAAGGGCAAACACCTACATGTATGAGCCTGACTCAAACGCCATTGATTTTGTTGTGTAATTTGCTTTCAGTGATACAAAACTTGAGATTTCTTTCTTTAAAAAATAAAATTCGCCTGACTCCCTACTAGAGGAAACCCATTGCAAACAGTAAATTTGTAAGCCAGGCACTCCAAAACTCAGTGAATTCAACTAAAAAGATGTTAAAACACCAACATAATCTTAGCCTTGTTTTAGTGATTTATATTTTATTACGTGTTTTGATAGCTGGCCTCGGCCTCGGAGGTGGTGGCCTCGGCCTTGGCCTCGCGGTTGTGGCCTCGGCCTTGGCCTCGCCGTTGTGGCCTCGCCGTTGTGGCCTCGGAGGTTGTGGCCTCGGCCTTGGCCTTGGAGGTTGTGGCCTCGACTAAAACACTGCACAAGATTTTTAAAAATAATAGACATTAAAAAAAAAAAAATTGTTTATACCTTTTTGTTAGCAAAATGGACATTGACATCTCTGGCGTAGGTCAGCAGCAGAGAAGCAGTTTCTGCAATAAACCTTGGGATAGAAAGATCTCTTTAATAAGAAACTTTCTTAAGTGACGAATTTTGCTCCAGCACGGTGTCAGGTACACACCGACACTTGTTTTATCAGAGACAGAAAGATCTCTTACAATTAAAGGCAGAGTAGATCATGTGAAAGTTAGATTTGAGGCTTTGCATGGTGGAGATGAATGAAAGGTTTCCAGAAACACCATGTGGGAATATATTTCTCAAACTAAAGTGAATGGTTCTGAAAAGACTCCACGTTCTGGTCAGTGTGCTCTGACCATTCTCTTTAGTTTGAGAAACTTATTCCCACAAGGTGTTTCCGCAAACCTTTCATTCATAAGAACATTTGCAATTTGCTTCATTTGAAACAACAAAAGTGCTCAAAATCTATAGACAGATGCTTTACAACTGACCTGATGAAGTTTTAGCTCTGTGAATGCTGTATATTTCGAGAAAACAATATTCTAGGATCTTCATTTCAATTCAAAAGTTGAACATTCATATTTTGAATTGCACCCGAAATCAGTATCCAGGACACATTCTCATTCAGCTGATTGCAGCTATGAGATGTCACGCAACTGAACCTGATGAGTAATAGCAACAACGCGCGAGCGTGTGCGTGTTACAAACAAACTACAAACACAACTACAAACCAACTACAAACGGAAATTTCCAAAAATGCGTCACTTGACACATCTTTGGAAATGACCTTCTTTTATTGTTTTCTTCAAAATGACAGCATGCCAGAATGAATAATTTCACAGGGAGTTTAGTGCTATTATTATCTTTAAACCAAGTATGCTTTTCAACAATAATTTGGTTAGTTACTCTTTGGATAGCTGCAAACAAACTACTCTCCCTTAAAAATATTAAGCTTCAAGGCAGCATTTTATTATATCTTTTGTGCAATTATTTGTTTTGGTTGTTGTTTAAACTGCTGACTGACCTGTTTTCCGGAGAGAAGCTTCAAATCTCTCAGTAGCCGTGATGACAGCTTTGTACTCATTGAGCTGAAATGGTGAATATGATGAAATCAGCAAAATATCTTTATCATACATTATTTAGAGAATATACCAAATATCTTCATATTCAATCATCAACCGGATAGCATTTATTCCCGATTCAATAGACAGGCATGCAACTGATAATTTAGAAAAAACGAGGAAATTCCAAACCAACATTTTGTACTGTATTTTCCAGTTTGTATTGGCATTCATGAGAAGTAAAAAAAACCGAGGAAATCAGCAGATCTGAGGAAAAGTTGCATGCCTGAATAGACCTAAGACACTTGGCTCCCATAGGAAAGCGCACATGTAAACAAAGCAGGACGTCATTATGTCTAAAGGCCTTTTCACACTATGAACGTCCGACCCGTGTCGAAATCTACACGGTTCCAACCCGTGTCGACTTCTAAAAATTTCAACACCGTTCAATTTCGCTACGTTTTCACACTACTCATTGCAAACGCGGCGTTTTTGCCATGCGTGTAATGTTTCGACCCGTGTATTGCGTGATCGTTTCACACTTCACACACGGCCGTCCGCCCTACACGTGTTATATAGCTCCATGGATGGTCAGCGCAAAGGACCCACACTTCATGTCAGTCCTTTTTCTGATTTTGGTCCCATTTTACGTCGGAGGATAAAATATTCTGAGAACGCACGAAAAACCAAACATGGTCGGCCGTTTCTACTTTCTAGTCCTTACGAAAAAGCAAGCACGGCCGAGACGAACGCACGAAAAACCAAACGTGTTCGGCCGTTTCTACTTTCTAGTCCTTACGAAAAAGCAAGCGCGGCCGGCAGGTGTAGCGAGAATATCAGGCGTTATGAAATACGGACCCATTAAGGTATTGCACATGCTCATGCATAGCTAATTAGGAGAGGGACCGATCACGTGAAAGGGTTTAACCAATAAAAGGGAAAAGAAGTCCGATTTTCACACGAATCCGATTTTCATATCACACCAATGGTGGCGTAACAGGGCAGCAGGTCAAAGGTTATTTGTATGTTCGCTGCATGCTAAAAAGTAACAACTACAGCGTGATGCTGCATGCACGCACTCGTACTCCGGCCAGTCCGCGTCCGATGAGTCGATGTGCGGTTGTACACGGGTCAAACGTAACCCAGAAGTGTTCATACTACGGCTTTCAACATGTGTCGGACTTCTCAACACGGATCGAGAATTCTCAACCCACCTCCCGAGTAGGGTAAGTTTGACACGGGTCGAGCATTCTACACAAGTCAGTGCCGTGTTTAAATGTCGGAGTGTGAAAAGGTTAGTCCAGTTTACACGTGTCAGACCCGTGTACAACACGGAGATTTTTCGTAGTGTGAAAAGGCCTTCAGGTCTATTCCATTATTGAAAACCTCACAATTTGGCTTTTAATGTTTAAGTAAGATTTTAAAATAAACGTGCACATAAATTTCTGCAAAAAACAACAACACTAATTCAGAGATGACGATACAGATAACAAATCTTTAAATAAGCAATGCCTTTTTTTTTTTTTAAAGATAAACCCTGATGAATGGTTGAAGAAAGTAATGCTGTGTGGCTACCTTTGAGCTGCTTGTGGGTATAGAGTGCACCAGACAATGTGTGATGATACACTTGGACAGCTCTGGCCAGATGTGTTCTCCTGTAAAGGTCAAAGAAACATTTGGTTAACGCCCTAATTTATGTGTCTGAGGGAAAAAAATAATTAACTCCCTGGGCATTTTTGCTGGGATGCAACCTCAATCCTGCAAAATCCTCCAACTGCCTCCATGTAAAAATTGCATACAGCCTAAATCCTGCAAACTCCTCCGTTACTTCATGAATGTTATTATTATTATTATTATTAATCATTTCTGGTAATGAAACCAAGGATTCCTCAAAAAGAAATTGAAATGTTGTCACAACATATGTACAAAATTGGGGGAAAAGAATAAAAGGAAGAAAAAAAATTTGTAGGAAAAAAACAAAAGCTGTTCCCAATTTGCTAATGAGATTGTCCCTACCTAGCATAGCCATCAGCGTAGTGTTCTCATCTCCGTTTTTACCCTCTGTCTTGAGGCTAAGTAACAGCCCGCTCAGTGCTTTCAGTATTGCCAGTGTGCTCTTGTATACAGCTACGGGATCGGACGGCTCCTCAGAGCTCTTGGGTAGCACCTTGAATCCAACGGTGGTTGACTGCGACTGCAACGAAGATGTTAACACATTCATTCACTAAACGCACAAAAAAAGGTTTTGCTGAGGAGTGCTGTGGCCTCGTGGTCTAGAGCATTGAATTCATGGTCTCAGCGCGATTCCGGTAACGAGCGCAATGCATCGATTATGATAATGAGTAGACTGGATCTCGTTTGTACAAGTGTATTTCGAACGATAATACGGAGTCGGGAACTAGCTTGAACTGGTTTCCGCTGATAGCTGCTCTAGTTCCCGACTCCGTATCTCAGTTCGAATCCACTTGTCTGTACAAACGAGATCCAGCCTACTCATTATCATAATCGATGCATCGCGCTCGCTAACGGAATCGCTCTGGGACCACTGAATGAACGCTGGGACATACGGTTACATCGCGTCATTCAAACCTGAGTCGGAAATTTAACGATAGATCGCGAGGGGAGCTCTCGGAATTGAACGGAAAATTTCACTTTTCATCCGACTCGTAAAGCAAACTTTAGCGCCTCGATTTTAATCATCGATCTCTCCTTGTACCTCAGGTGGCGTATCTAGTAATTTGGAGGCTGTTTTGAGGTAAATCTGATGTTTTTATTTGCCAATGTTGTGTTTTTTGGGGGGTCAACGGCAGTCGGCAGAATAGTGTCGCGCGACGTTTTCTCATGGTTTCTCGAGAATCGCCACCAAAATAGTCGAAAAATGTCATATTGTAGTCTTCATTGTCCCGTTTGAAGTCGATTACTAGCTTCGTGAATGCCTGTTGCATCGTATGAGATATGAATTATGGAATCTGGGTCGGGATAATATAGGGAAAATGGACTGTTTTTGTAATGCACTGGGGATACAGAGTCCAGAATTTCGGGACTCTTACGACCCGGTACCTTTAATGTAGTTGTGACTCCAGGGGGGTCAGACAAGTCGACCGTTGAGACAACTCGACTCGGGACAAGTCGACCGTTGAGACAACTCGACCATTGAGACAACTCGACCGTATGTGTGATAAATGGAAAGACAAATCGACCGTTAAAACAAGTCGACCGTTGAGTCAAGTCGACTCACTTGTTTTGGTGCCTAGTTTTGGGGATAGTACCGGGGAATTTGACGGCGGCTGATCGCTGTTTGGGAGTTATGACACATGAGTTTTTTTGTTGTATCTAAAAAAAAAAACAGAGCTGATATAGCGCAGCGTGATTGTCTGTGCACATGGTCTGTTTTTCTGGGCCGCGCACATCCCCGGTCAACGTGGCCGTACCGTGCACGGTGACATCGTTTTTGCCGGGCCTGTGCGTGCACTTATCCATGGTCAACGTGGCCGTGCCGTGCGCGGTGGCATTGTTTTTGCCGGGCCTGTAAGCCCACTTGAAGCGCCGGTCGACGTGCCGGGCCGGTCCCGGTCCTCGCGGGCGGGGCGCGCCGGCCCAACACGACGGCAACCGGATCGGAGCGCCCTCTGTGCATTGAGTATGCCCGTGCTGTGCCCGGGTCATGCCACAGATTTATGCAACTTTTTCCGCTCCACGTTGTTACGTGCGGGGAACGCACGGCAGAAAGAAATAAGTAATAAAAATGGGAATCATGATTTTGAATCAAAGGCAAAAAAGAGACCAATATATGATTAACAAAATTTAATTAATTCTCTCAAATCAATCAACAGGATAGTGGGTGATACAAACATTCTCAGTTAGTCTTCAACTTTAAACGTCATGCAAGAACCTCCAAGCATTAGACACAGGCAAAGCAAAATAAATTACAAAGAAATTAGCAAAGCAGCAATTTATACAAACAGGCAAAATACAGTAAAGAACAAGCCGGCAAAATAGAGTTAATAAGCAAAACACACAAAAAAGGCAAATTGTATTCGGCCGAATATAATTACCAATAAGGAACCAGTAGCAGGAACAGGCCCCGCCCAGCCAGTGCCCACAACGGTATTAGCGCAGCCGTCGAACCACGCATCTCCGCACCCAGCCGTAGATCAGCCAAGCCACCGGGAAGTCAGCCACATCAAGCAGGCCACGACAGTCCAGGTCTCCGTCCGGTAGTACCGTCAGCCTCGGCCACGATCCAGCGATGAGGGGTACGTAGATCGGTAGGACGGCGGGAGATGCTGGCTCAACGACGCGCTAATGAAAATCGCACATAATGGTTGTACATGGGCACCAACTGAGACCGAATAAAAGCCAGTCAGTGCTTATATAGGGTATTTACCCGCGCGTAGCCACCATAACAAACATTCATTAAATACTGAAAATTCTAGTGCGGGAGCAACCGTACTAAAGGATTACAGATTAAGTGGGTTCGTAACACACTCCCCTCCATAAAAAAAGTTTGAACGTCAGGGAAAACTTTCTTTTTAAACATGCGGCACGCGAGTAAAGCCCTTATAGAATTATTACATGTATAAAGTTTACACTCCATTATACATAATTACTAATTATTAATTATTAATGCCAATGTAATAAAGTTATTAACATAATGTTAATTGGAAATTAACCAATTATTCAAATGGCAAACAGTGATATCCAGATTATTAATTGGCAGACAGCGAAATCAAGTTAGTAACACCTGGACAAAGTGTCCGCTATTACATTATCTTTGCCCTTAATATGACGAATTTCAATGGCAAATTGCTGAAGAGCCAAACTCCATCTTAACAGTCTCTGGTTTTTGTTTTTCATTTCGTTCAGAAACGTCAAGGGGTTGTGATCTGTATATACTACAATCGGTTTCACTGCTGAATCTACATGCACCTCAAAATGTTGCAGAGACAAAACTAATGCCAACGTTTCCTTCTCAACAGTGGAGTATTTCATTTGATGACGGTTCAACTTTTTTGAGAAGTAACATACTGGATGCATAATACCACATTCATCTTCTTGTACAAGTACAGAACCTACTCCAACATCACTAGCATCAGTTACAAGTGTAAACGGTTTATCAAAGTCTGGAGCAGAAAGAATTGGTGCGGACGTGAGCATGGCCTTTATCTTTCCAAACGCCTGATTGCATTCATCGTTCCAAATGAATTTTGTGTTTTTGGCAAGCAGGTTTGTTAGTGGGGAAACAACATCCGAAAAATTACGGCAAAACTTCCTATAATACCCAGCCATGCCAAGAAAATGCATCAACTCCTTCTTTGTTTTTGGTTCAGGAAAATTCACAATGGCTTCTACCTTAGCGTTTACTGGCCGAACTTCTGCTTGGCCGATTTCATGGCCCAGAAAAGTAACCTTGGCTTTCCCAATCTGACTCTTCGACAGGTTGACTGTTAGTTTAGCTTGGGAGAGTCGATCGAACAAAGATTTGGTTTGCTCCACATGTTGTTCCCATGTATCACTGTATATAACAATGTCATCAATATACACTTCAGTGTTTTCTAAGCCTGCAGTAATTTGATTCATGATACGCTGGAATGTGGCAGGGGCGTTCATCATGCCAAAAGGGAGTACTTTGTACTGGTACAGACCCTGTGGGGTTACAAAGGCTGAAATCTCTTTTGCTCGAGTTGTTAATGGCACCTGCCAATATCCCTTCAACAGATCATATGTACTTACAAACTTAGCACTACCAATCTTATCAATGTAATCATCAACTCTTGGAAGTGGGTAAGTGTCGGGTTTAGTCACAGAATTAACTTTTCTGAAATCGGTACAAAACCGCATAGACCCATCTGACTTAGGAACCAAGATACATGGAGAGCACCAGGAGCTATTACTCTCTTCGATAATACCATTTTCTTTCATGTACTGGATTTCTTTGTGCATGAGCGATTGTTTAACTGGTCCACATCTATAAGGATGTTGCTTCATTGGTGTGGCATTTCCAACATCCACATCGTGTTCGGCAATATCAGTTTTTGTGGGCACATCAGAAAATAATTGCTTATTCTCAGTCAACAAATTTGACATTTCTGACTTCTGCTCTGGAGTAAGATGTTCAAATTTCACATCTAGATTTGCCAAAATCTCTGAGTTATTCAACTTGATGTTGTCACCTGGCATCTGACCATCATCTACATTATCAGACTCTACTGCACTTACAGCTACTGTTTCAGTTTTAGTTTCTGATGGTCTGACATGGTAGCTCTTAAGCATGTTAACATGGCACAACTGTCTTTTCTTTCGCCTATCAGGAGTCTTAACTATGTAATCTAGGTCACCTATTTTACGTTCGATTACATAAGGTCCACTATAACGGGCCTGAAGTGGTTGACCTAATAATGGTAACAGTACAAGGACTTGATCACCTGGTGCAAAACTACGATCTCGAGCTTTACGATCATACCAAGTTTTCATTTCTCTTTGGACTCCCTGAAGGTGATTGTGTGCAAGTTCACAAGCATTCTGTAAACGCTCTTTAAGTTTTACAACATAACTCAGAACGCTGTCAGTAGTTTGATCATCTCCTAACCACTTTTCTTTCACTAGAGCCAATGGACCTCTGACATTACGCCCAAAAACTAGCTCAAATGGGCTAAAGCCTAGGGACTCATTTGGTACCTCACGGATAGCAAAGAGGAGTAAAGGGAGACCTTCATTCCAATCCTTATCATGCTCTGTACAATAAGCTTTGATCATGGACTTCAAAGTCTGGTGGAATCGCTCAAGTGCACCTTGACTTTGAGGATGGTATGCACTAGATGTTACAATATCAATGCCTAAAGCACTGAGTTGATCTCGGAACAATTTAGATGTAAAGTTTGTTCCTTGATCACTTTGCACTACCTTGGGAAGACCAAAACGAGTAAAGAATGAGATAAGTGCTTCACTTACTGGTTTGGCCTTTATCGACCTTAAAGGTACAGCCTCAACATATCTAGTGGACGAGCACATCATAGTAAGTAGGTACTGGTGTCCTGATCTAGCTTTGGGTAATGGTCCAACGCAATCAACAATGACTCGGCTGAATGGTTCAAGCAAAGTGGGTATTGGCCTTAAAGGAGCTTTAGGTGGATCCTGATTAGGCTTACCAACTACCTGACAAGTATGACAAGTTTTGCAGTAATCGGCTACAGATCGTCTAAGGTTAGGCCAATAAAAATGCTGCAAAATACGATCACAGGTTTTTGTCACACCTAAGTGTCCAGCCATAGGGATGTCGTGTGCTAAACTCATTATATGACTCTGATAGGTTTTAGGAACAACAACTTGTTTGACAACTTTCCACTCTTCATCAGCGGAGACATATGGTGGTCTCCACTTCCGCATAAGTACGCCATTACTAATGAAATAGCACACAGGCACCTTAGAAGCTTCAGTTTCACTTAAAGCAGTCTTACTTATGCTAATCAATGTAGGATCCTTCCCTTGTTCAGCTATCAAATCCTCTTTACTAATGAAAAGATCACTAGAAACATGTGACTGAACACCTGGGAAATTTTCCTGAAATGGCATAGAAGATTCATTCATGAATGTGTCGGATAAATCAATGCCATCTGATTGACCTAAGAACTCAGTACTAGTTAGTTTATCCTTACTAGTCATTGATCTAGTGGTCACACATGAAGGAAAGATACCCGGAAAATCTTCCTCCAGCTGAGTAGTGTGATTTTCACTACTCGCAAATGTATCCATTACTGGTTCAACAACAACTTTGCAACCAGCAACATCATTACCTAGGAGTAAGGTTACACCTTCTAATCCCTTCGGTAGGCTTGGGGCCACCCCTACTGTCACAGGCCCTGAAACCAAGTCTGACTGTAAGTTAACATGATGAAGAGGCACATCAATGCAATCATTACCAACACCAGTTACCAATACATTAGTTCCTGCATAAGATTGATCAGTTAAGGGAACTGCACCTTTAAGGAGCAAGGACTGAGAAGCTCCCGTGTCCCTAAGTATTACGATTGGATACTGTGGCAAGTCTAATTCACCTTCGCCAAGTGAAATAAATCCCTCTGTGATAAAGGGTAAGTAGCCCTTACTTATGTCAGACAAAGAGCCTTTGACTTCATCATTGTTCTCAGAGAATGTGGAACATGGAACACTCTTAGTGAATGCAACCGGCTTAGAATCACTAGAACCACTAGCCTGCAGTTTTCTCAAGTAAGCAAAACAATTGGATTTTATATGGCCTGTTTTCTTACAAAAAGAACAAGTCACGGTTGACCTACTACTAGATGTTTCCTTTTTTGCACTAGTCCCTGAATTTGCACTGTCGGGTTTATCAGTATCTACTGACTTATAACGTGGAGGACTGTTTCGAGCCCGACGTTTACTAGAGTAGTCATTACTCTTAGCAAAATGTGTCAACACATAATCATCACCTAATACAGCTGCCTGATGTAACTCTTTAACTTGTTGTTCCTCTAAATGTGTTTTAACATTATCTGGGACACAACTCTTAAAGTCCTCCAACAGCATAACCTGCCGTAACCTAGCAAAGTCTTTGCCTACACTACAAGAGTCACACCATCTATCAAAGAAAATCTCTTTCTCACGTGAGAACTCAATATAATTCTGCCTATCCTGCTTTTTTGAATTCCTGAATTTCTGCCGATATGCCTCGGGTACTTGCTCATACGCTTTTAAAATAGCTGACTTAACTAGCTTATAGTCTTTACTTTGTTCAACAGCGAGAGCTATATACACCTCTTGTGCTTTACCAGTTAAGATACTTTGCAGCAACAAAGTACGCATATCTGAAGGCCATTGAAGCCTATCTGCTACCTTTTCGAAATGCCCAAAATACTTGTCAATTTCTTTGTCCTGAAAAGGTGGAACTAAACGAATGTGTTTACTAGGATCGAACGCACTATGTGTATGTGACGTAGTCTGCTTTAACTTAGCTAATCCTAATTCAATCTCGGCCTTTTTCCTTTGCTCGATTTGAATTTCTAACTCGAGTTCTTTCAGTCTAATAGCAGCTTCTTCTGAGTGATGACTAGGCTCTGCAATTTCTAACTCTAGCATACCCTCATCTACAAAGAACTCTACAAGTACAGCCTTTAAATCTGCTTTTTTCATACTAGACAGTACAGAAACACTATAATGCTTAGCTACGTCAAACAATTCAGTACGCTTCAAAGTATTCAGTTTACTCTCCGAGGGAGAGTCTTCAAAGTTAGCTACAAAGTCACTAAGATCGAATTTGCTTGCCATGATTCGCTTCAAGTTCAAAGTATGCAAAGACTAACTGAAAAAAAAGGGTATAATAAACCCAACTACGGACAATTTCTCAGCTTGTAATTTTGCTCGATTCCCGGACAAGCCCCCAATTCTGTTACGTGCGGGCACGGCAGAAAGAAATAAGTAATAAAAACGGGAATCATGACTTTTGAATCAAAGGCAAAAAAGAGACCAATATATGATTGACAAAATTTGATTAATACTCCCAAATCAATCAACAGGATAGTGGGTGATACAAACATTCTCAGTTAGTCTTCAACTTTAAACGTCATGCAAGAACCTCCAAGCATTAGACACAGGCAAAGCAAAATAAATTACAAAGAAATTAGCAAAGCAGCAATTTATACAAACAGGCAAAATACAGTAAAGAACAAGCCGGCAAAATAGAGTTAATAAGCAAAACACACAAAAAAGGCAAATTGTATTCGGCCGAATATAATTACCAATAAGGAACCAGTAGCAGGAACAGGCCCCGCCCAGCCAGTGCCCACAACGGTATTAGCGCAGCCGTCGAACCACGCATCTCCGCACCCAGCCATAGATCAGCCAAGCCACAGGTAAGTCAGCGTTGAGCACCGGGAAGTCAGCCACATCAAGCAGGCCACGACAGTCCAGGTCTCCGTCCGGTAGTACCGTCAGCCTCGGCCACGATCCAGTGATGAGGGGTACGTAGATCGGTAGGACGGCGGGAGATGCTGGCTCAACGACGATGTGCTAATGAAAATCGCACATAATGGTTGTACATGGGCACCAACTGAGACCGAATAAAAGCCAGTCAGTGCTTATATAGGGTATTTACCCGCGCGTAGCCACCATAACAAACATTCATTAAATACCGAAAATTCTAGTGCGGGAGCAACCGTACTAAAGGATTACAGATTAAGTGGGTTCGTAACAACGTGTATACATTTCCATTGAGTCGAGCTGTCTCAACGGTCGACTTGTCCCGAGTCGAGTTGTCTCAACATTAGAGCTGAAGTTACTCAAGGTAAGTTACATCATGGGACTATGTCATTGCCAATTACCCCTAGAACTTAGCTTGAGTAACTCCAGCTGACATGCTCATAATAATCCTTTACATGTAACGCTGGAGTGTGGTAGCAAGAGACCCTAAAAAAATGGCCTCTCAAAAACATTTCATTTTCACCTCTAATATCCCACCTCAGATTTCATTTACATACCTCGTTGATTCAGCAGTCATTCACAGAGCCTAATGATCGACTTGAAACAGACCACCAAAAAAAACTGTCTGGTGAGGTCAGGAAGATCACTGGTGGAGCTGTTGAGCTGCTGGAACTGATGTCTCCTTGAATACCAACAAAAAATAAAGATACCAAATTGACTTCTTTTGACAATAAAAAGTAACGTCTTAACCAGTTTGCATCAGAGGACGTGATAAGACGCACTGGCTGTTTTTATGCACAGGCACGGCTGATGGATTTTCTAGGGTTAAAAGGTCAAAATTGCCTCCACTCATCTCCGGGTAACATTCTGCTTTTGCACACACACAAAAGTCTGTGGAGTAATACAGGCCAGACTGTGTGTTGATCTTGAATTGGCCGTTGTGCATGGCCAATTGTTTGACAATTTACGTTCCAGTGCACACCTCAAAGTATTGAACCATATGAGCTTTCGGCACAAAGTGGGACGCTTGGGTAAAAAGAACCCCTATGCCAAATATCAGGCCAAAATATTTCCATGAAAAAAATGCATCATTTTACCAACTTGCTGTGCTCACATTTGTATGGCCCTTAGCACAGAGATTACTCCAGTGTGTGGCCATAGAATAGGCTAGGTTTTTACCAATGGTGCAATAAGTGATAACCACAGACACCAATGCCTGTCTCATCAGACAGCCTCACATACCTAGTCTAGGGGCTAGACGTTATTATGGTTTGATACGCGATAACCCCCGCAAGAGGGAGCTCTCACTCACGACCAACCAATATCACCCACCATCAAAACGTCTAGGCCAACTCCTAATACCCCCCCCCAAGAAAAACAAAACAAAATGGGGGAAACTAGTGCACAAACGTGACTTCTGCAGGCATTTTACTGTTCACTTTTAGCCCCACACATACTACATATGATAACCATTCATCTTAAATATCTGCGTGGTTATCCGTCAACTTCCTTTGGTATTCATGGATGGGCTACGGAAGTTCTTAACTGTTTCAAACTTCCGTGGTGAATCGTCATGAAAATCATCCATAGAACAACCGAATTAATTTGTAGTGTTATTTGTAGCTATTCATAAATATTCTTGGAGATTTGTAGCTCATTCGTGGTGGAAATCTCTACGAATTCACTACAAATGTCCTACGGTTATGCCCGGATATATGCTAGAATTCTGCTAAGGTTGTACTACGAATATGACTATGCTTTATTTGTAGGAGAACCTTGGTCATCCGTGGCCCAATCGCAGACAACTGTGGAATTAACATCATTATTCTTGGTGATACTGCCAATATTCATAAACAATCCATTCAAAAAAACGTGGTGTATTCGTAAAGAAACCTCTGACAGTCGTGGCTATCCGTCCTGAAACCCTAGTGCATTCTTAGAAAGTCAATTTCTCCATGAGTCTTGACGGTTCATTGTGATCAATTGATTCTTGGTAAGGCCCCATTTCGATAATGAATGATCGTCGGTACCCCGTTCTTTCTGAAGGATCCTGCAGACTTTTTTAACAAAAGAGCCCTTGACAACCAGTCCTGGCACGGGCCAGAACGCTTCATTTAAATAACAAAAGGTGTGAATATGCCCGATCTTCTGCAGACCCGCCGGGCCAGGCTCAGTGCCAGAGAGATCATTTAAATATGAATGGCCGGTCAGTCTGCAGAATACCGACCTGCAAAAGCGCAACTACTTAGCCATGTTGTGAGCCTCGCCTCGTGAGCACATGATGAAGGAATGTGATATGACTAGTATAATACTTGTGCGGTAATGTACATGTACTGTATACGAGTTCAACGGTTCAACCTAACTCACGCAAAACGAAGTCAAAATTACGTCTTCATTTTGCTCACCCTGCAAACTAAATTAAATATGCGCCAAAAATTGGCGTTGGCTTTCGCGCTAGTGAGACCGGCCTTATTCACGATTTTTTTTTCACCGGCATTCACGAATTCTCTTACCAGAACCTAAACAACGAGAGGAGTTAATAAGTAAAAACATTTGTCACGATATTAAAAAAATACTTTTAATTTAGTCAACTGCGCGACGGCCCCTTTTAAAAGCGCTAAAAAAAAGCAACCCCACAAAATTATCTTGGTTTGGATGGAAAAAAACATTACGATCGATACCGACTTCAAAAAAAAAAAGAAAGTCAAATGCAAAATCCAAAAATGAAGGGGGCCTAGTATAAGCCTTTTCAGCAAGTAATTTTTTCTGGTATTATTCGAAGAAAAAAAACCATGGTGGTTTAACGCCAGTTTTCGTACAATACGTACGTGTTCGATCCAACGGTTTCGATTGTAATAATAGAGAGGCACAAGTACAAGTAACCACGGAGAAATAACTCCATGGTACAACAGAGGCGAAACGAGCAAATTGTGGCTGACAACGGTTGCGAGAGTTGGAACCAGACTGATAGTCTACAATGTACTACCTTTGTGTGGAGCGGGATCGGCCGTTGTCAGACTTGTTTGACACGTGGTAATGTGCACGTATTATCCCTGTTGCTGTGTTGTGCAGTGTGGAGCGGGATCTGAACTATACTTTGACCGTGTCAAACGCGTAGCGAGCGGTGGGCTGTGTGGCATTGTGTCTGGCCGCATCGCGGTGTTTTCTCCGCGTGTCCGGACAGAAGAAAGGTCCAGGGAATAAAATCGCAACTTTGTTGTTATGATTGGTACAAACCTGACTTAAAAATCAACTTATTGTTAATTAAATGAGGATTCCTTGGACATCAAACATTCTGCTATGTATTAAACATTTGCTTGGCCTAATATATATAATATACATGTGTATTAACATTTCCTTGTCGATTTCTGAGTAGGTACTCAAGAAGCCACCATTTACTTGACGAGACGGGGAGACCATCACAAGTTACCACGTCATGGCAATGATATGAAATGTTGTTCAAAAATATTTAGACTTCATCAACTCAAGAGACCCTTCGGTATTCATTATAATATAATTATTTGTAATTAATGTGGAGTAATAAAGCATTCGAAGAATTAATGTCCCACACCCCCAAATAGTAATTATCCTACCGAAGTTCCATAATTATGCATTGTCATTTTCATAAATTTAATTTGACTGTGCGAGGTATTAGAGAGTTCATTTCCGCAATCTAGAATGTAAGAAAAATGATGAGTGTAGGCTAATCATGTTCCTTGCTCTATCGTGTAATGAATATGTAAGAAATATTGGAAACTAAACAACGTACATGTAGTATTTTTAGAAAATACAGCATAAAGTTAGTCTCTATCCCTTTAAAAATATATATTGTGTTCTTTATGAAATAATATGGTGTCATTCACTTCTGAATGTGACATTGAAATCAACGAATAATAAAGGTTGTTTTACTGCGGCCGAGCAATTTTTTTTAATGGGAGCTAAAAAAATATTAAAAGAATAAAAACTAATTTTCAGAGGGTAGAAAATGACTATGCACAAGAAAACCACTTGGTCGTGTAGGCCTATTGCACAGTTTTAGGAGTACACCAATATCTAGTGCAGACAAAAGAGCACGAGTAGATGAACTTAAATCACCCAATATCATTATGGAAGACTTTTTGGTAGAAACTGACTCATGAATATTTACGAGGGCCTTCACTGCACGTCACTGGTTTCCTTGACAATTATGTTGCTATGATGGAAGTGTTTGAGAAATCCGCATGAATTTCAACCGTGATGAGTTTTGGGCGGTCCTAGCTGTGCCGCTTTTTATGACCACTCAGCCCTGTCGACTGAAACAGTTTTGCTCGGATGTTGGCATCGGGTCTTCTCATTGGTGGTAGAATTTCGTAGTCATGACGATATACATGTTTGTCTTGTATCCCACGCTCTGTTTGGCAATGAGCCAACCCTTTCCCACAAAGGCCAGGATAGATTGGAGTTGTCAACGGCTGTTTACCGTGCAGGCGTATGAGTGGGGCTGGGGAGTTTATTATTAGACAACTGTGCCTACGTACCGGTGCGGGCATGGCCCGGCCGGGGAATAAAATGTTTAACCAGTGCGATGTTCATTTCTTGAAAATATTTACCCCGAACTTAGTTCATTACATTTGGCATTTGATGAGGTTGTTCACATGCCTAATTTTTGAAATCGTTTTATTGTTATACAATCATAAATATTGATATTTTATATTTAATAAAAAACCATGCGTTTTTATATAAATTAGAGTGACCATGCATGGTGACGTGACTACAATATTATGCCCCATTATTTTATCATTCTATCTAACCGCACTCTTCTACTCAAAATCAGTCCGTATTTAATCCCAAAAGTTTACTATCCAGTTATAAAACACTTTAGGTTAATATGATTTCAAACGATTCTGTTAATACTAATAATCCTGCAAAGCGATGGAGCATGTGGTCTAGATCATAGATGGAGTCAACGTCGGATCCTCACTAGTCGAATACCAAACTGTCATGACCATCGGGATTCGAATTAAATGTGCAACTTGGAGAAGGAAATTCCATTTGTCCAAGGTGTTGAAGCTGTACCACTACTTGCAGTAGTACGACGCAGCAAAATGTCCCCTTTTGTCACTAACTTGGTGAAATGTGCACGAAGTATGTGCGTCAGGTCCTTCTGCGTCTTGCATGTGCGGTCGGCAAACTAAAATGCATACCGTTTTGGATGTGTCGTCGACGCGTCGTGTTACCAGGATCACAGCCACTTGAATTAGTACGCAATTGAATTTGGGAGCTGACTATTTGCGTTGCGTGCTGTGGGGAAATCCCCGCCAGCAAAACGGCTGTTTCATGTATTCTTTTCTTAAAACATTTTACTACTTGGCCTTTTATGTAAGTCAAAAAAATAAGAATTGAATCGCATACTTTTAGACCCTCACAATTCTTTCCAAGCGTTAAGCAGTGATTTACAACCCGGAATGTTGCCCATCTCAATTTGTGTTCATTCAAATTTTCAAATGGTAATTCTTATAGAAGCATAAAACTTCTCAAATCTTCAGAATTTCGCGGCAAACTTACGTGACACATCGTTTTTTATTTCATTGCGATGAAGTGGAGAACTTCCAAAACATTAATTTGCATTGAAATACGGCAATCTCGGAGCAAAATGCAGTGAAATATTTTGTTAGAATGACAAAAAATAGGGGTTATCCTGGCAGTTATCTTACGCAGTGATTATGTTCCATGTACCATCGGCTTTTGCTACGATCTTTGTAAGAAAACTCGTCCAAAGCCTAAAGGTTTCGGTGAAATTAACGTTCATATACGGCTAGTTCATATTCTCGCCATGAAATAAATTATTATATTAATTACAGAAACCTTTCTGGAAACGTTTGCAGATGACGAATTCGCTTCGATCTTCGCTCCGCTATTATATTCACTTGTATTTAAAAGGCCGGTTCCTGCTCACACAATCATAATGTACAATGTTTTGTTTGATAACAAAACGGAACGTCTTTCTGCGTACCGACCGTGTGTATTCATGAGGTCTACGGTGACTCATGTTTATTCATTGCATCATTGTTGAGATAACAAAAGCGCACGGCTGGTCTAGCTCATTAAAGTTGCCGTGCTTGAACGCACACACCCGTCCAGTCTGCAGATTCCCGCCCTCCTTGACAACTGCAGACTGATCGTCCAGAACGCAGACAGAACGGGAAATAACGGGCATTCATTATCGAGATGGGGCCTAAACGGTGGATATTCGTAGGTCCAACCGTGAATGTGTGACTGGGGCCTTAGACTATGACATACCTTGATCTTATTGCTGAGAGTCTGCATCTCAGTGGACAGTGTCTGCACCTTGTTGTGTAGCTCCTGGGTGGAGTCCCTGGTGGGTCTGTAGTTGGCATACTTCTCGTGTACGGCGTGGTAGATTTCACCCTTGATCTCATCAATGTGAGTTGATAATTTGCCGATGCGCGTCCCCAGGTCTTCTTTTCCAACAGATCTGCGAAAAAAATTACAAAATATTGGGTGAGTAAAAAAAAAACGAAACCCAAATGGCAGGACCAATTTTCGAATGAAGTTTTGTCTGTAGCACTTTTAAACTCTAGGATATAAAAACCCAATCAATAAGCTTGCGGATTTGTGACGGTTAATACGGAGGTAGGCCTTGTCCACTAGTTACCTGTAGCTTGAGTAACTCCAGCTCTAATGCCTATTGCATTAGATCTGGAGTCACAACTACGTTAAAAGCACCGGGTCGTAAGAGTCCCGAAATCCCGGACTCTGTATCCCCAGTACATTACAAAAACGGTCCATTTTCCCTAGATATTATCCCGACCCAGATTCCATAATTCATACCTCATACGATGCAACAGACATTCACGAAGCTAGTAATCAACTTCAAACAGAACAATGAAGACTAAAAAATGAAATTTTTTGACGATTTTGGTGGCGATTCTCGAGAAACCATGAGAAAACGTCGAGCAACACTATTCTGCCGACTGCCGTTGACCAAAAAATAACACAACATTGGCAAATAAAAACATCAGATTCACCTCAAAACAGCCTCCAAATTACTAGATACGCCACTTGAGGTACAAGGAGAGATCGATGATTAAAATCAAGGTACTAAAGTTTGCTTACGAGTCGGATGAAAAGTGAAATTTCCCGTTCAATTCTGAGAGCTCCCCTCGCGATCGATCATTAAATTTCCGACTCTTGTTTGAACGACGCAATGTAACCGTACGTCCCAGCGTTCATTCAGTGGTCTCAGCGCGATCCTGGTAACGAGCGCAATGCATCGATTATGATAATGAGTAGACTGGATCTCGTTTGTACAAGTGCATTTCGAATGATGATGTGGAGTCGGGAACTAGCTTGAACTAGTTTCCGCTGATAGCAGCTCTAGTTCCCGACTCCGTATCTCAGTTCCAATGCACTTGTCTGTACAAACGAGATCCAGTCTGCCATTATCATAATCGCCGGCCCAACGCGACGGCCACTGGATCGGAGCACGCCTCTGTGCATTGAGTATGCCCGTGCCGTGCCCGGAACTGGTCCTGCCACAGATTTATGCAACTTTTTCCACTCCACGTGTATACATTTCCATTGAGTTGAGCTGTCTCAACGGTCGAGTTGTCCGAGTCGAGTTGTCAAACCGGGGGACTTGTCTCAAGGGTCGAGCTGTCTCAACAGTCGACTTGTCCCGAGTTGAGTTGTCTCAACGGTCGACTTGTCTGACATTCGACTCCAGCTCTAATGCGATAGGCATTAGAGCTGAAGTAACTCAAGCTAAGTTAGATCATGGGACTATGTCTTTGCCAATTACCCCTAGAACTTAGCTTGAGTAACTCCAGCTGACATGCTCATAATATTCATTCACATGTAACGCTGGAGTGTGGTAGCAAGAGACCCCAAAAAAATGGCCTTTCAAAAACATTTCATTTTCACCTCTAATATCCCACCTCAGATTTCATTTACATACCTCGTAGATTCAGCAGTCATTCACAGAGCCTAATGATCGACTTGAAACAGACCACACAAAAAAACTGTCTGGTGAGGTCAGGAAGATCACTGGTGGAGCTGTTGAGCTGGGAACTGATGTCTTCCTGAATACCAACAAAAAATAAAGATACCAAATTGACTTCTTTTGACAATAAAACATCTTAACCAGTTTGCATCAGAGGACGTGATAAGACGCACTGGCTGTTTTTATGCACAGGCACGGCTGATGGATTTTCTAGGGTTAAAAGGTCAAAATTGCCTCCACTCACCTCCGGGTAACATTCTGCTTTTGCACACACACATGTCTGTGAAGTCACACAGGCCAGACTGTGTGTTGATCTTGAATTGGCCGTTGTGCATGGCCAATTGTTTGACAATTTACGTTCCAGTGGACACCTCAAAGTATTGAACCATATGAGGTTTCGGCACAAAGTGGGACGCTTGGGTAAAAAGAACCCCTATGCCAAATATCAGGCCAAAATATTTCCATGAAAAAAATGCATCATTTTACCAACTTGCTGTGCTCACATTTGTATGGCCCTTAGCACAGAGATTACTCCAGTGTGTGGCCATAGAATAAGCTAGGTTTTTACCAACGGTGCAATAAGTGATAACCACAGACACCAATGCCTATCTCATCAGACAGCCCCACATACCTAGTCTAGGGGCTAGACGTTATTATGGTTTGATACGCGACAACCCCCGCAGTGATAACCCCCGCAAGAGGGAGCTCTCACTCACGACCAACCAATATCACCCACCATCAAAACTTTCTACATGCAGTTTACCATTACTTTTATATAGACATGAGGCTAGGATATTTCCAGGTTTTAGTGAAATTCATCCAATTGCCTTTAAATTCTGTTATACAAAATTACATAAAGACCCTGAGAAATCTTCACCATGGAAAACATTATGAACTCTTAACAGAGCACAAACTGTATTATCATTATCGAGAGTTGAATGCTTAGAGAGCAAACTCACCACAAATCCAAAATGTCTTGGGAGGTTTTGGATCTCAATCTTGAAGATCTCTGAGGTGAAGTGCTGTTGTGTCCGATAGTGATAAGGATCCGTTATGGCAGCGCCAGTCACCGGTACGTCAGAGGTGCTGGTGGAATGGTTATCTTGTGGGTCAAGACCTGATGGACAAAAACAAACAAATTAAAAAACCAACTCCAATCAGAGAAAATAAATTTACTTTGATTTTTTTTAAGCATGAGATATTTGTAAGTTTAATTATGAGTTTTCAAGTGAGACACTGCACAACAAAATCAGTTCACACTGACAAACAGATTAATGAATTGCAAATTTTGAATAAGAAACATCCCAAAGTTGAATACTGTTAATATAGATGTACAACAATTGTACACAGTACCTGAAAAAAAATTAATGCTTTAAAATATGAATCTCTTTGTAAAGTTAGAGATAAACCTATAAATATCTTAATTTGGACGGTTCCCAAAAATGACCAATTTCTACAAGCTGTAAGTAATGTGCGTAATTCAAAACTGCCAAGCACAAATAATGCTATGTACTATCACCATTATGGTATTTGAACTAGTATGCTTTTCTGATACTTGATACTTTATTGATGCCTCATAATATTTTGATATTTTTATTTGCCTTTTTTAATGGGCTTTGTATTAATCAACAAAAGAATGAATCAAATTAGGTTTCGCCCTGCACCAACGTATAAACACTGTATACTCAGTGTGGTACCTCCCGAGTGAAAGTTGGAAAAAAATCACTGGGGTGGGACTCAAACCCACAACCTCCTGCTTTCTAGTGCAGACATCTTACCACTGGACCACCGAGCTGGTTGGTTCAAATCTGATGTACATAGCAGCGGGTACTGCATTAACTATTCATAAGATGGATAGTCGGTGAAGGGCAAAACCCAATTTGATTTACATCACCCCGACGCAAAATTCCATCTTAAGCCGTGTCCGCACTGGACTTTTTTTTGGAAGGTTTTACCCGAGACGATGGTAAAATGAGAAATGGTCAAATGTGACCACTGTCCGCACTTGGACTTTCGACACGGGAAATTTTACCCAGACCGCGTGGGAGAAGTGACCGAGCTGTCACAGTCACGTGCACATGAAATAAAATTCCGATCACATTTTTTTCAGCCCCCGATACGCACAGTATAATATTACACACACCATTAAAATGCACAATATAATCGTAACATACGATGTTATTTCATCTTGACACGATAAATCTTGACCAAAATGCCTACTATTCTGACGCATTTGTGATGGACGACATCGAAGCCATGCGGCAGCAGTTCCATCGGTAATCGCTGGTTCCCACCGCATGCTAACAGAATCAAAGCTATGATGTAGGACCGGAACCAGGGACTGCGGCCTACGTACATGTACGGTGCCATGCAGACTACACGGCGTAACAGGACGAATTTGGATCGTAGAAAATACAAAACAAACATTGGTGGAAAAAAAGGAATAACTGCAAAGTATTTCCCAGAACGTGATCTTGATATTTTCTGTGAATGTATTCTCCGTTAAAATATATTTATAACAAGATTTTACCGCTCGGACTTGACACACCGCAGCGTACGTGTTTCCACAAAATGTTCGGCCACATCACGTGTGGGATCGTGCGGTCTCTGTATGCATGATACTAGCGCTCGGGCCTAATGTCACTTTCCTGAGCCGCTTTTACCGACTCGCACTGTCCGCACTGGACTTATCGTCTCAGGAAAAGTGACCTGGTCAATTTTCCTGGGCGCATGGTCAGTTTTCCTGGGCAGCAGTTGGCCAGTAAAAGTAACCGCTGGACTCAGGAAAAGTAACCGAGAGAAAAAAGTCATAGGCTGTCCGCATTGGACTTAAAATGGGAAAAGTACCAATAGTCTCGGTAAGTTTGACCAAAAAAGTCCAGTGCGTACAGGGCTTTATAAAAGAATGAATGTTTTAAGATATGAATGGCTTTGTAAACTTTGCATTCATTCATCAGGAATTCACAAGTTTGACAGTTGAACGAAGGTTCAAGGACAGAGGAAACGACAGACGTGGCGGAGGTGTCTTTATCTTGGTTAAGGATGGTTTCTCAGCCATTGAACTTTCTGAAGATGGTTGTGAATTACTCTGGTGCCAACTACCGCTCAAGCCGAAAGGAGAGGACATCTTCATCTCTGCTATTATAGAGCCCCCGACTCCTACAGGCCAGAATCTCTAGAAAACCTAGACAGAAGTCTGAGTAAATTGCAGGCTCAGGTAAACTCCCCATTCATCATTCTTGGAGGAGACTTCAACATCCCGGGCATGCTTTGGAACTCAAGAACTTGTACATGTACTTTCTCGGCAAATGGTATTCAATCCAAAATTATCAACATCGCAGATGACTACAATCTCGAACAAAAGGCAAATTTTACTACAAGGAGAGACCCAGTTACAGGAACAGATAACATCTTAGATTTGCTCTTCACCACACGTAAAACTCTGGTTTGTAATGTTTACAGCATCTCCAGAATTAGCGATCACGCAACAGTGCTAGCTGACATAAACATCACTGCACCTCGCTCTGTCAAGCCCCCTAGGACCATCTTTAAGTGGAATGATGTGGATGAATCCAAGCTGAAAAAAATCTGTCTTCGAGCTTAAGACCGAATTCATGCAGTCATCTCCAGAAACCAGAACAGTTGAGGCAAATTGGAGTATTTTTAGGGACAGGCTGAAAACTAATGAATTAGTACCACAAAAACCAGTCCATGGACATTCTAGACCCTCATGGCTCACTACTGTCCTAATCTGTTGCTGCAGGAAGAAAGAGCGCAGCCATGTGAAGGCAGTAACAAGCGGTCTACATTCAAACTTTTGCAAAAGGCTCATTCCACCGGGTTGGGGAACAATGTGTGACATATGACCATATTAACAAAAGCATAAATGCCTTGCTAGCAGTTGCTCTACATAATATTTGTTGTTGGGTGTTTCACGACTGCAGAAAGTTTGAAATCATTTCAATGTATTTGGCCAAAAATATGAGCAAAAAAATGTCATTTTGGATGTAACATTGACACCGTGTAAGTGTTACGTCCAAATATGACATTTGTACCTTTTTTTAAAATTTCTGCGAAACATCACACAAATTCACTTTGCTAACTTCTTACTATACATGCAACACAATAAAAAAAAATTTTGTTACGGTAGTCAGGTATCAAATGGAGCAGAAATGATAGCTTGGTTGTGTGGATGTAACATTGACACGGTGTAAAACCCAATGTCACACTTCCATTGCGTGATTTTTACACCGTTACATCCACACTAGAGGTATTGTTTCTGCTATATTTGAACCCTGACTATACCAAAACAAAAGCTTTTCTTGGTGCTTAGGTGTCCAGTTGTAAATATGCAATGTCAGTTTGGGTAATATTTTACATACGTGTAAAAAATGGGAAACAAAGAATATTTGGATGTAACATTGACACGGTGTCAATGTTACGTCCAAATATGACATTTTTGCTTATATTTTTGTCAAAGTACTTTCAAATGATTTCAAACTTTCTCAAGTATTGAAACACCTTAAGACAAATATCAAATTGAGCAATTGTTTAGAATGCATTGATACTTTTAATAATGTAACCAAATATATGGATGTAACATGCACTGCTTCCCAACCCGGTGGAATGACCCAAAAGCAAGTGAACAGCGAAATCCGAAGGGCTAAACGCACACATTTACAAGAAACTACATCTACAGCTAACCCCCAGAAATGTTGGCGCTACGTAAACAGCACTCGTTAAGACAACACAGGGGTTCAGGTTCTAAAACTCAACAGGAAAAATATCACATCTGACCAAGAAAAAGCTGAAACCCTACAAGACCAATTCTGTAGTGTTTTCAGCAGGGATGACACCGATGTGCAGCCAGTTCTACCACCGAGTCCCTACCCAGACTTGACAAACATCACCGCGTCTGTTAGCGGAGTCCTCTAGTTACTGACGTCGCTCAACTTGAAACTAGCTGCCAATGAAGTTGCCCAGTACTCGCATTCATATTCCAACAATCACTTGACCTGGGTTCTCTACCATCTGACTAGAAGAAAGCCAACGTAACACCCATTTTTAAGAAAGGCTCTCGTGCAGACCCGGCAAACTACAGACCTGTGTCGTTGACCTCTGTTTGCTTTAAGTTATTAGAGCACATCATTGATAGCCAATAAATGAAACACCTCCAGGAACACGACATCCTGAACGAAAACCAACATGCTTTTCGTAAAGGCCTGTCCTGCAAATCCCAACTCGTAACAACTCTGGATGACATCTCCTACAATTACAATAATCAAATCACCACAGACATGGCAGTACTTGACTTCTCCAAAGCATTCGACATAGTTTCTCATCAAAAACTGGTCCAAACATTAGACTACTACGGGATAAGGGGAAAAACACAGAGATGGATCAGGGAATTCTTAACCAACAGGTCACAATGAGTTGTGGTAAATGGAAAATCTTTGAAATGGCAAAGTGTCGACAGTGGCGTACCACAAGGCACCGTGCTTGGCCCCCATCGGTTTTTACTTTTCATCGATGACATTAGCAAATCAGTGACTGGCACAACTCGCCTTTTCGCTGACGACTGCCTGTTATATTGGAAGATCTGCTCATCAACTGATGAACTGATGTTCCAAAAAGACCTGAACAACTTGGCTCACTGGGCGCAAACCTGGGGAATGAAATTTAACTCCAGCAAATGTAACATCATGCGAATCTCCGGGAAGCGGGCCCCCAGCAAAACTAACTACACCATGTTAGGATCCAACCTCGTACTCGTAGAGAAAACCAACATCACATATTTGGGAATAATCATTCAGAATAACCTAAGTTGGAATCACCAAACAGCATATGCCACTTCCAAAGCAAGTCGTATATTGAGCTTCATCAAAATAAATTTTCATTCTGCATCCAGATCAGTCAAAGAAAAGCTGTACTTAGCAGTAGTCAGACCACACCTAGAATATGGCAGCATTGCTTGGAACCCTCACATAGCTAAGAACATAACATCCCTGGAAAAAGTGCAACTGATGAGGGCTGCTCGTTTCGTAATGCGAGATTATTCCAGACTGAGCAGTGTGACCTACATGTTGACAACCCTAGGCTGGTCTTCACTGGAAGAGAGAAGGAAAGTTAACCAACTTACCTACTTACCTACTAGAATAATACACAACATAGTTCACATTAACTCATCATCCATACATGTAGTCCCCAAACCAGCACCGGCTCGTAGAATTCACAACCACCAGTTCACAGAAATTGCAGCAAGGACAGACATCTATATGCAGTTATTCCTACCAAGAACTATCCGGAAATGGAACAAGCTCCCTCAAGACACCATAGACGCCCCAAACCACAACACCTTAAAGGATTTAATTTAGTTCCACTTCCCCAAGGCCTCCTTGCTAGACTTCCACTTGGAGTATTCAGGATAACCACGAAGTACCAAGTACCAAGTAAAGGTGCATTTTTTTTTTATGAAATTGAACCCTCATATCCCCAATTTAAAAAACTTACCTGGAAAGCAACAAAACTATTTTGCAACAAAATTAATTTCACTGGGTTAAAGTATTAAGTTTCCAATAAGCAAGAATGGACAAAATCACATGAATGGGATTACACTTAGCTAACCTGGCAAAGGAGCAAACGTCTTCACCAAGTAAAAGAATAACAAGTCACCTTTGGATTTGTCCTCCTCATCTTCATTGGGAATGGAATCCATAGTGATGGCCGCATCTGTTGGCATCTTGACAACATCACCCTCTGTAACTGTGGTTGACGTTACCTCCCCAGTTGGGACATCATCAGAAGTTGGTCCCTGCTTCTCATCCATTTTGGTGTTATTACGTTGGACCAAAAACACACTGGAAATATAAAGAAACTGCACATAAAGCAGTTGTATACTATTGAAAGCCATGACCAGTGGGATATCTAGGGGGAGGGGTCAAAATTTGTCCCTGCTAATTTTAACTTTTTAGGATATATCATTTTCTGATGGCTGATAGGTCATTTAAGGGAAAAATTACGGCAATCGTGAAGTGTAGGGCCCCCGTTTTGTTTTGATCAAATTAGAATCGAAAATGTTTTTTATTGCTCAAAACTCACCTTTACAATCAAAAGCAGCCTTTTTCTTAATTCTAATAACACCCATTTCACAATTTTTAACAGATTCTTGGAGTAGAAATCACGGTTTTCCTGCGCGGTTTGTACCTTGGGATTCAGCGCGCCTTGCATGCTCACGGAACATCGCGCGGTGATTGCCATCTTAATTTTCGGGTCGCATGTTGTCGCCGCGCCGTCATTGTCATTTTACCCCCAAATTTCCCTCAAATAATCAAAACCCTGCCCTCTATCTATGACAAACCTGTTTATTGAGAATGTTGCAAACTATTATGGTAGGTCAAACAATTTTTAAGTGGATTTTGTTCCCCAAGTTATAGGAACCGGGCCCTGCACTTCACGATGGCCGAAGTATTAACTCAACTGTAGCTGGAGTTACCCAGCCCTAAATTTTATCATTGGGTTGTCATCTAGATGACAACCCAATGATACCCAATTGGGTGCTGGGTAGTCCGAGTAACTTGGACCCAACTTATCGCCTTTTTTAACATTTGGACATGGTCTGGCGATAGTAAGGTCCAAGCTAATACCGAGACCTAGACAACACAGTCCCAAAAACCAACATTTTCCAACAAAAAACATCAGATTTCGCCTTCAAAACGGCCTCCAAATTACTAGATATGTCACCTGAGGTACAAGTAGACATAGATGATTAAGATGGTTGTACTTAAGTTTACTTACGATCCAGAAAAAAGTGAAATTTTCCGTTCAATTCTGAAGACCCCCTCTGCCTAGGTTGTCGTTGTTGTGCTCACGTTCAAAACTGCATGATAATGGCATCTGACCTCGACCTCATGCAAATGTCAGGGCGGCGTGCTTGCGCATAATGCACTGCATGCACGGCAGATTCCCCTGCGCCGCGCCGACGACTGTTTCCTGATGTAGAGCGCCAGCCATGCGCCTGGCTAGCCAGCACGACTCCTAGGCGTACCACGAACTTACACAGCACTCAGTCGTCGAAACAGTCGTCGGCGCGGCGCAGGGGAATCTGCCGTGTCGTCACGACATTTGCATGAGGTCGAGGTCAGACGCCATTATCATGCAGTTTTGAACGTGAGCACAACGACGACAACCTAGGCAGAGGGGGTCTTCAGAATTGAACGGAAAATTTCTGATGTTTTTTGTTAGAAAATGTTGGTTTTTGGGACTGTGTTGTCTAGGTCTCGGTATTAGCTTGGACCTTACTATCGCCAGACCATGTCCAAATGTTAAAAAAGGCGATAAGTTGGGTCCAAGTTACTCGGACTAGGTGCTGGGTAACTCCAGCTAACTCAACTGAGAAAACACTTAAAAATTTTCAGACCAGTCTCAAAGGGTTTGTGCACAGGGTGGCAAGTGATGGCCAGATATGGGAATCTTTCCTTTAATGTTAATTGTTATTGTTAATTAAGCATCTCAAACTTTTCACGAATGAGATACCACGCTATTGAATACAAATAATAAACGCAGTACTGTACGTCTATCAAACTCAAAGTATCATGTCCGATATGGCCACTTTTTGCAGTACGTTTCAGTTTCACTAAATAAAATAATGCAGATTTCACCAATAGCTAATATAAACAACTAAATTAATGTTATCATTTATTAAATGGTTAGATAAAATTATCTACTGATACTGACCAAGAAAGTGACACAGGCAACAGGTTTCGGCCACTCGGAAGATAGCGCCAGATTTACAGTCGCGTGTTTATGTTGTTGAATGCTGCCCTCATGTGTCGTTCGATTGGCATGCAAGCTCTTTCGAAACATCGGCCTCCATCGCAGGTCCCTACTGCTTCAGCTTCATATATTGAACTGGTATCCTTTTTTTTTAACGAGACGCATACGTCTTCCATAACGGAAGCTCAACAACATTTATTTGTCTATTATTATTTGACAACTCACGCTTTCTGGGTAGCTGTGTGGAAATTTCATAATCTTCTTAAATTTTTATAGTAGACGAAGCCCCAGCTGGGAATGAATCGAATTTTTAAAAACTCTTTAAACCCATGTTTTCTTTTTTTCTGGAGGGCTAGGCCGGCGCTGTTTACGCAACTCAAGTAAGTTTCCACAGGGAGAAATGGCTTTAAGGGAAATAAATAAGCTGTTTACGCTGAACACTAGTTTTCCAGTTTTTCCCCTTGACCAGTTTGAGTGGCTCTTCACCAAGGTAATGAAAGTCGAAGGAGCGTCAATAGAGCTAGAGAGGGGCTATGTGCAAATATTATGTTGGACATTTTACAAATCCCCGGGAGCATCAAACTAGGCCTATATCTATACTAATAAAAAAGTAATAATATAGCAGTGTTGAACCCCACCGTACAGGAGCGACACAAAATATTGAATTCTACTTCGAATGCTGGAGGGAACTATATGCTTAAATGTTTCCAGTGACGGGTGCATATGTAAGTAAACACTAAATGAAATGTTTTTTGTGGCTATAACTTTGCCAATAGAAATAATTATTAACAGACTTTTGTCTAAAAACTGTTTGAGATACTTTGGACAGTATTTTTACCTATGAAATATAAATGAGGTTGATATTTGTTTCACACGAAGTAAAGAATAATAAAAAAAGACTGCCGAAAAATTTAAATTGATTAAACACAGCGTCACTGTAGCTCACCTATTATTACTGCATTTCACTGCCAACCTGGTTCGCTACAGTGGTGAAGCAACAACTCACAAATAATTAAGATACCTAAAGTAGTCAAAACAAAACTAGAAAGACACAACATTTTTTAATCATCCTTTTTATACAACTCGGCAGAAAGTCCTTAATGCCTGGTGAACTGGATAAAAATCGCCACTTGAAGGAGTTTAGGCAACACAAAAGAGAAATTTCCCATTCCGCAATAATAGGGATGCTGCGATAATAGGGAGTCCAACTAAACTTTAAAAATATAGCAACGGCATACTAAAGTTATATTGCAAATGTTTCTATTTTGGGAGAATCTGTATACATTTGTAAAATGTTATGTAATTGGCACACGGATGATTTTCAGCAAAACATTCTCGGAACTCTTTCCATGCATAGGATTTAACTAAGCTTCTTAGACTTTCGACAAAAGTATATTATAATATTTGTGGATTTATTTTATTTACCTCCTATTTTCAATTATGATATGATTTTAAATATTATGCATGCAGTTGTTTTTACCAAAATGGAAAGAAATTCATTTATTTCATATATAAACAAACGCGCATTTAATAACAATGTCGGATGACAAATCCACATTGGTTTAGGAAGTAGGACACAATGGAGACTTTCGTGGCAGCCAATTTGACTCATCTGCAGACGATGACGTTCTTGGTGCTTCCTTGACGTTCGATATTGTTCAAATTATTTTTCTATGTAGTTAATATTAGTCATTCTTTCAATGTTAAAGTCCACAATTGTGTAGGATTTAGTTTATGCAAGAAAAAAATTGGTCCAAGTACTAAGTGCGCAAAAAATGGCCAATGTTTTTCTACATCACTACCTCTTGTTGGTTCAGCATCAGAGGTGACTAAATGTTGCCACCTAATGCTGCTTTTTCTTTCGTATATCATCTCAATGAAGGTCAGTAATTGCAAAAATGATGATATATTGATAAGACATGAATCTTGGACTGAGAAACATTTCCAATTTTGTTAGGAAATACTTAAAAAAATTCTTGACTCTCCATAGACTTTGTACACAACTGCAGAAGTAGCGTCAGGTTGCAACATTCTTTCCGAGGTGACTGTTGGCTCTCCAAGAACCCAGCAGGCACCGACCGTCAGACTGACGTTGTATAATGGTTGTTTTATGGTCGCAACGTCGGATCAACCATACATAACCGAAAATCAACGTTGTTTTAGTCGACCAAAAGACGACGTTGTCATTATAACGTCCGCCAGACGTTGCCTTAGTGTCGACAATTTAACGTCAGAATTTTACGTAACAACAACGTCGAAATATAGTTGGAATTTGGTCGGGAATATTACCAAACGTAATTTCAACCATGGTATGACGTTGTTTTGTCAACGTCTATACAACGGACTGAAAAACAACGTTGTATTATTGTTATTTTTGCGTTTGCCTTCGCGACGTCGCAATTATGTCATGTTTTCAACCAAGATATGACGTTTGCTTTCTAACGTCGTTTCAACAACTCAAAAAACGACGTTGAATTGTGGTTGGCCGTCGGTTATAATATCCGACGTCGTACTTATGTCATGCTTTTGACTAAAATGCAACGTCCGTTTTTGACGTTTTTTCAACGACTCAAAAAGTGACGTTGAATTATGGTCGGCTGTCGGTTATAATATATGACGTCGTTATTTGGTCATGTTTTTAACCATTATTTTACGTCCGTTTTCTAACGTCGTGTCAACGAATCAAATAATGACGTTGACTTCCGGTCGTTTGATGGTTAAAATATTTGAACGTCATTATTAAGTCACGGTTTAACCCAAACTATAACGTCAGTTCTCTGACGTCTTTTCAGCGACTCAAAAATGACGTTGGATTATGGTCAGACGCTGGTTATAATATTTGACGTCATTTTTAAGTCATGTTTTCAACCATGATATTACGTTCGTTTTCTAACGTCGTTCAAATGACTCAAAATCGACGTTGTTTTGTGGTTGGCTGTTGGATATAATAACTGACGTCGTACTTATGTCATGCTTTAAACCAAAACACAACGTCCATTATCTGACGTCATTTCAACATCTTAAAAAGCGACGTTGAATAGTGGTCGGCTGCTAGTTATAATATTTGACGTCGTTATTAAGTCATGTTTTCAACCATGATATTACGTCTGTTTTCTAACGTCATTTCAACGAATCAATTAACGACGTTGATTTCTGGTCAGTGGATGGTTACAATATCGTTATGTCATGGTTTAACCCAAAATATAACGTCCGTTTTCTGACGGTCTTTTCAGCAACTCAAAAATGACGTTGAATTGTGGTCGGCTGTTGGTTATTTACATTACGTCGATAGTGTGTCATGGTTTCGACCAAAATATAACGTCCGTTTTTCACTTAATAAAATTAAAAAGTCATTAAAGAATGCATGTGCAACGTCGTAATTCCCAAACGAAATTATCGGACGCCTTATTAATTTGAACGACTAAAAAAGACGTTGAATTGTGGTCAGCTAGCTGATGGTTATAAAATTGATGTCCGGTCTGCAGTTTCATCATTGTTTCAACCAAAATATATCGCCCGTTTTGACGACTTTTTCACTTAGCTGCGGCGCGCGCCAATTATAATTGTCTTGGCCCAGAGCCAAGTGCCGCGCGCGCGAAAACCGTATAGCCCAAGCGTATTACACGTAAGCATATGTATGCCCTGTGTGTGACCTCTTGCATTCCAACGAACTCCACTACTGTACGACTCTGGCCAGTTTGAATATCCGTTAAAACAACAGTCACAACTGAAGCAGCTTTGGGAAGAGACATATTGGCCCAAAATGAACAAGTTTTGTGCACCTTTCAACAAGATTTCAAGTCAAGATTTGGTTCTGCAATGGAGTACTGTTAACATTGGAGATGTTCCCAACCCCGATCCTAACTTCAAGTCAAGATACGACACCAAGATGTATAGGACAAGCACAAGTCAAGATTTCGATTGAACCGCAATCAAGATGATCTGATTTTGCAATGTCTGAAAATGGTAAGTTTCAAACGTGAATGTTTCCGAGTTAGAGATTTGCAATTTCTTTGAAGGTCAATAGTTGGAAATTGTATCTCTATTATATCTTTATTATGTTCCCTATCAGTCATGTCAGTTGTAACATTAAAATTCCATGGAAAGTACCTTAACTTCACTGTAGAAAGTTGTTAATGTTAGACTAGACATGTTGGATGCTATTGTCATTTCATATTTTAAAAACAAAGTTACACTAACGGTGCCCTTTATTTAAACATTGAAGAAGTAGAAAATCCTAACTAATCAGCAGTCATGCATGTTCTGCCCGCTTTCCATCATCATGTCCAATCTTTATTTAGCCCTAGGAAAAATGAGGTCATTTTAAAGTATATCTCAACATGAGACAAGTTTCCCACACGTACTGGGTTGATTGAAGATTTAGAATATTCAATTTATTGTGAATTTAACTGCACCGCAACATATTCCGCATCCGGCCTAACTCAAACGATCGGAATGTCTCTTTTATTTTTTACAGATATTTTGATACAGATACGTTTTCAATCTAGTTTTAAAAGTGTTCAGAGTTTGGGAATCACTTATGACGATACATTATGCCACTTTTCTTTTGTTGTGTACTCTATGTCATGTTTTGTTAATAACACGGCGTACGCAATGCTAAATAAATGTTAATTATTTTTTATAATTATTAAGAAAGTAACGGTGCTTGCAATTTTAAATTTTTCATTAATTAATTTCAGTAATATTCGTTTCTTAGAATCGCATGAAATTGCCCATTAGACTTAAAATAGGCCTATGCTTCGACTTGTCTTCTTCATGAGAACTATTTTTAATACTTATTTCGGATTTCTGAAAATTAAACTTTTGTTTTAATTATTTACGAGTCATCATTATTTTAAAAATGTGTTGGCATTCAAGAAAATTGACAATGTTTTTCATTTTTTCCCTTTTCCAGCTCTCTGCTTTGGTCAGTTGAGGGAGACGAATACACTACCTAAGCCCTACTTTACGTGGCACCATGCATCATCAGGATCAACATCGACCGCCTGATGTCTTCTATACCTGCACAAATATTCACAAAAGAGATTAGAGATCATGTCTGTGTTGGTTGTGATTCAGTGTTTGATTCAAAGGCTCAAACCGACGTCTATTTTTTTTTATTTCATGTCCAAATTAAGTTGAACTGTGGTAATGAAATCTGATGTCAAAATTGATCGGCCCATCAACATTGAACATTTGAAGCGTCTATTTGCCATTGTTTAAACCTGTCAGACTGACGCCACTATTTTTACTATTAACTAAATTTAGAAAACTTAACACTGTTATTTCGGTTGTGTACTATGTGAACCTAGCCAACCAGTTGTGTAAAAAAACTGAACAAGTTGTGTTATATTCTTACACTGTTGTGTAAACAACAGTTTACACAACAGGTTGCTAGGTTCATATAGTACATAACCGTTTGATTTTTACACAACCGAAATAACAGTGTTCAACGTCTACAAAAATTACATTTGCAACCATGTACTGACCTAACTTCAACCATGAAATCCGAACGTTTAAAGGACGTTATTACGACGGTCAGATAGACGTCAATTTTGACCTCACTCAGACGTTATAATGTGGTCATTTTTCGACGTCTAAATAACTTCAACCGCGACGTCCTGTCGACGTCCATATAACCAGTCAAATCACGGTCAGACTGACGTCATAATTTGACTATATTCGGACGTTAGCTTTCGGTCAGGTTTTCGACGTCCAAATAACTGACACTTTCAACCATATTCTAACCTAAATTCAACCAACAATCTGACGTCCCGTCGACGTCCATGTAACCAGTTAATCATGGTCAGACTGACGTCATAATTTGACTATATACAGACGTTAGATTTCGGTCAGGATTAGCAGTTAATCATGGTCAGACTGACGTCATAATTTTAACCACATACCGACGTTAGAATTTGGTCAGGTTTTCAACGTCTAAAAAACTTACACTTACAACCACGACGGCAACCAAAAAACAACGTCGGAGTTGGTCGGAATCTGACGTCAGATAGACGTTAAACCGACCAAAAATGCCTGCTGGGAAAGCCTTCTAAAACCTTCCACCGCCTCAAAAGAGATCCCATCTGCGAGTGGTTTCTTTGTTAAATGTTTTATGCCTGGTTTTTATGAACTGCCACTTTGAAAACTGCTGTGAAGATTTGGATTTGAGTAGAAAATGAGATTTCTACTGATTTCATTGGCGTAGCCATTTTATAACATTTTTTTGACATCATACATGTTAACTTGACAGTTTTTCTCAATTGTTTTTTTCGCAACTGTAGGCGCATCCATCAGTGCGGATGAAAGGCGCTGAGGCAGACTGGACGCCCATACAATGCACAGACAGGGAGTGTAGCCACTCCTGGATGAAGGCTCCGCATCTGCACTGTCCATTCTGCTCCCAGGACAGTCTCTTCACTGAGGAGATTCTCCTCAAGGCGCACTACGTACAGGGTCAAGTACGTGGATAAAGGCATCAACTTTGGGGGTGAGTTTGGGAACAAGACCAAGTGCACCAGACTTTTCCAACTGATGCGCACTGTGCTGCATGTGGCAGGGTTAGGGTTAATTATAAAGATAAGTTGAAGGTAGTGGACAGCAGGACAAGGTAGTGGCATTTGTGGGAGTTTTATGAAATTGACAGATACCTGGGCTGGTTATTCTTAGCAGATATCAGTGTTCGATAAACTCCCTGTAGAGGGGTGTTTCAAAAAAGCATGAAGTGAACTTGTTGAACAAAATCTGGGGGTTTTTTTACCGAAAAGTTTTGACTCAAGTATCCATTCTTTTGAGAATGATTAGACACACCTTTTTGGTTTAAGTGTTTGAAAGCGCACTTATTTTTAACCTTCACAGTTTCAGTGCTGCTTCAAGACAACTGAGTATGCCGTTGCTGTAATGTAATGGTCCCCTTGTACAATCTGCATGAAAAAAAAACCATGGAATAAATTTAATCAGTTGAAATTTATGTACCTTGTGAGCAGGTGTGGTAGTTCTACAAGGATTTGGGTGGATTATGTCAAATGCCAACACTTCGTGCCTTTTAAAATAATTAATTGTGAACCTAATTTTATCACTGTATGTTTGTGTCGTAAATTGAATCTTTTGCTACCTTACAGGTTTAAGTCTCATTTTATCAACCTTAACGACTGCACTCCACCATTTTTACCCAGGATGTCAACCAGATCTTCACCACATACACTGACCCAGCACCCAACAGTACCAGCCTGGTAACACACCTCATAGTCCCCCAGTCACAGCAGCCATCGGAGACAGACACATCATCCCCGGGGCTATGAGCAGACTGATGGGCAGCAGCCGCAGATCGAGTACCAGTATGCCTGCATCAATGATCCGAGTCAGAGCACTGCCAATGGGGAAGGTAAGATGGTAAGAATATTAACCCTGACCCTCCAAGAATCCTTCAGCATCTACGCAGAGGTTAAGGTGGATAATGCCACCAGCAGTGAAGGATAATTAGAAGAAGCTGACCAAAAAGCCAAGGGGGAGGCATTTGATGCAAGGAAGAACTCTTCCCCCCCCCCCACCCCCCCCCCCCACTTTGTTTTCAATTGATATATCGTGAATCCATATGGAAGAAGGGAATGGGTAGACAACAGCATGTTTGATACAGTTGTCTTCACTCCTGCACTTGTTTGGTCAATAAAATAAATAAAACAACAACCAAAAGTTCAGCATTTTTTTAGGGGGTTGGGGTGGATGAGGGCCAATATTGACAGTGGATTTTACAAATTGAAATTACAAGGTGCAAAGGGTGTGCCATTGGCGTTATTTAAGTTGATTGAATTTTGGAGGATTCAGGAAGGTTCTAAGCAACAAAAAAAATCTAATAAGTCAGGGTGGCAGTACATTTTGAGAGCTGACTTCAACAATTAATTAAATATTGGCATTTGTCCTTCACCTTGCCCACCTAATGTTAGGAATACGGTTTGAAAAAGTGAGTGATTGCTTGCACCCAGTTACAAGGAATTACATGTTCTTGACACACTGCATCACTTTGGACTTTCTTGCCTGTATCCTGTTTTTACCGCTACAAATCATCTGTCCCATTCAAGCGCAACATATATGTCGACCTTTCTACTCCATAAACTCCTCCCATCATTTCCCCTCTTTGTGTAGCCCACACCTGGAGTGACCTTTTGATGACCGACTTTCATTATTACAGGAATCATTATTCAGGATAATTACTCAACCTTTCCCTCTCGTAAACAGTTGTCCTTATTGAAATACCAGATGAAGGAAGCAAAGAGGATTTGGAGGACGAGACTTGCTACACAGAGCACAACTTGTCGCTGCTGCTGCAGGAGAAGGAAAGTCTGGAGAAGACTCTTGAGGAGGAGCGGACCGCGTGGGCCCAGACAGAGCACAGAATGAAAGGTACTATAGAAAGGCTTCGTACAAAGGTGAGTGGGCATTCCATCTGATCTTGGTCTAAGAATGAGTTTGGATCTTGTTCCCTGCATGCAACAGGTACCAAGGGCGTCAATCGCTTCTCAAAAGTGGGAGGGGGGACATACCTTGATCAAAACTAATGCAGGCACACTAATGCTACTGCGTTCTTTCAGTGGTCAGATTTCTGTCAGGATGCCAGCTGTCATGGCTGTGGGCGATCATAGTGTGCACTGTTGTTGTCATTGCTCTACATTTTCTACACGTTCTACGTTGTTTTATGCGCTGACGCTGCTTATGATAAATGCAGACAAACCGTTGCACACATTTTGTACACAAGCTCAGATGTGTCGTTTATCCTTGTGTAGAGGATTCGTGGTTTCACTCATACTCTAGTTGCACTAAATAACTGGGTAACAACACATGTGCCTTCTTAAGCATTCATGCTCCAACTGCACACATCATGAAGTGCATAAATGTCAGACTTTGGTGTGCGCTGTCATGGTTGTGATTGGTTACACATCATGGGGCAGAGCCTAATGGATTGGTCTATTAAAATTCCATCTGTAAACAAATAATTTCTCTGCCCATCCGTCTTGCCCTCCAGGTTGAGTATTTGTCCAACACAAACATGTCACTCAAGCAGCAGCTGTCCATGATTCACACGTCCAGTTTGAAACATCTAACCAACGACAGCGAGAACCAGTCCATTTTGCAAGAGTTACTGCAACACATGTCTGAGGAGCACACCCAGCTGCTGCACCACCATCTAGCACAGCTACGACTGTACACTCAGGCCTGCGCATTATCCAAATCAGCCCCCAAGGAATCTGCAGCTGAATCTACAGTCTTGGTACCAGACCTGGCTGACCAATCACAGGACATCTCACACATGGCCATGATGTCGTCCTCGGAGGGCACCCTTGGGAACATGGAGCAGACAGTCGTCATGACGATAACGTCTGAGGAGGATTCGGAGCCGTCGGCAACATCGTGGATAACCCCGGAGATACTGTGGGACATGACTCCTTGACTTTGGATAAGGACGTTCACTTGTCACCAAATGACATTCTGTACCAACTGACAAGCGAGGGACTGTCACCAAGACATACCACCTCTGAGTCGGGTCACGTTTATCAATCAGGTAGAACTCATTCACATCACAACACAGGCTGTGATGTCACGCAACAGGATTTTCACAAGAACAAAAGTTGAAAATTGGTTCTTTCCAACAGCATGCCAAAATTATTCTGCCCCGATGGCTTTGACAAAAGAACGTTTGATGACAACATGTCAAATGAGGGACCACCATTAAAATGTGGGAGAACTAACAGCCTGAAAGCCACTTAACTAAATAAAACCGGACATATTTTGTAAACAGTGTACACTCAGTGTTGTCCGAGGGCTTAGTTGGGGGGGGGGGGGGGACTTGAACTAATGAGTTGAGTCTTCATGGAAGTTTGTCTTACCTGAATGAAAAATTTTACCAAAGCAACTGGCCTTGGTCTCTCCTATCTTTTCGATGGGCAATCCCGAATCCGCTCAGTGAATGGGCGTCGTTGTAGGCCCAAACAGATCCATGTAGGTCCTCAAATCTGTTACTGAAACATAAACGATGCAATTATGATAAACATTGAAACATTTGGTCGTATGTATAAAAACTAGCATTTGCTTTTTGTTTTACTACATATTTTTAAGCATAACTTTTATTTGCATGAATAAAAATGAGAGCAAATGCTTTCACTATTTGCTTCAAGCTAAAAGTATTTGCTTTTTAACTTTTTGGCTTTTGCTAGACTAGAAGTGTGGACTGGTTTCAAACTTGAAAAAAATATAAATTTCAATTGACCTCAAAATTAATAAAATTTTAAAATCTAAAACTCCAACTGTGGGACTTGAACCAGCAACCTTCAGAAGTTCAGATTTAGGGTCATCAGTCCGTATTACTTGATTAAGCACAACTTCACACTATTTTGTGGTTACAAAATTAACTGTAAAGTTTCAATTGACCTAAAAAGTAGTAAAATTTTGAAATCTAAAATTCCCAGCGTGGGAATGAACCTGCAACCTTTAGATTTAGAGTCAGCAGTCTGAACCACTGCACTAAGCATAATTTCATGCTTTTTAGTGGTTACGGAATTAACTATCAAGTTTCAATTTACCCAAAAGAAATAAAACTTTAAATCTAAAATTCCCACCCTGGATTTGAACCCACAACCTTCAGATTTCAAGTCAGCCGTCCGTACCATTGGACTAAGCATAATTTCACACTTTTTAGTGGTTACAAAATTAACTATCAAGTTTAAATTTACCCAAAAAGAACTAAATTTTAAAATCTAAAATTCCCAGCGTGGAAATGAACCTGCAACCTTTAGATTTAGAGTCAGCAGTCTGAACCACTGCACTAAGCATAATTTCACACTTTTTAGTGGTTACGAAATTAACTATGAAGTTAAATTTACCCCAAAAGACATAAAATTTCAAAAACCAAAACTCCACCCCTGGATTTGAACCCACAACCTTCAGATTTCAAGTCAGCCATCCGTACCATTGGACTAAGCATAATTTCACACTTTTTAGTGGTTACAAAATTAACTATCAAGTTTAAATTTACCCAAAAAGAACTAAATTTTAAAATCTAAAATTCCCCCCCTGGAATTGAACCCGCAACCTTCAGATTTCGAGTCAGTAGTCCATACCATTGGACTAAGCCTAATTTCACACTTTTTAAAGGTTACGAAATTAACTATAATGTTTTAATTTACCCAAAAAAGTAATGAAATTTAAAAATCTAAAATTCCCACCCTGGATTTGAACCCACAACCTTCAGATTTCAAGTCAGCAGTCCATACCATTGGACTAAGCATAATTTCACACTTTTTAGTGGTTACGAAATTAACTATGAAGTTAAATTTACCCCAAAAGACATAAAATTTCAAAAACCAAAACTCCACCCCTGGATTTGAACCCACAACCTTCAGATTTCAAGTCAGCCGTCCGTACCATTGGACTAAGCATATTTCACACTTTTTAGTGGTTACAAAATTAACTATCAAGTTTAAATTTACCCAAAAAGAACTAAATTTTAAAATCTAAAATTCCCATCCTGGATTTGAACCCACAACCTTCAGATTTCGAGTCAGTAGTCCATACCATTGGACTAAGTGTAATTTCACAATTTTTAAAGGTTACGAATTAACTATAATGTTTTAATTTACCCAAAAAAGTAATACAATTTAAAATGTAAAATTCCCACCCTGGAATTGAACCCACAACCTTCAGATTTCGAGTCAGTAGTCCATACCATTGGACTAAGTGTAATTTCACAATTTTTAAATGTTACGAAATTAACTATGAAGTTTCAATTTACCCAAAAATAAATAAAATCTAAAACTTCCAACCTGGATTTGAACCCGCAACCTTCAGATTTAGAGTCAGCAGTCCATACCATTGGACTAAGCATAATTTCACACTTTTTGTGGGTACGAAATTAACTATTAAATTTAAATTTACCCAAAAAGACATAAAATTTTAAAATCTAAAATTTCCACCCTGGATTTGAACCCACAACCTTCAGATTTAGAGTCAGTAGTCCATACCATTGGACTAAGTGTAATTTCACAATTTTTAAGGGTTACAAAATTAACTATAATGTTTTAATTTACCCCAAAAAGTAATAAAATTTTAAAATCTAAAATTCCCACCCTGGAATTGAACCCACAACCTTCAGATTGCGAGTCAGTAGTCCATACCATTGGACTAAGTGTAAGTTCACAATTTTTAAATGTTACAAAATTAACTATGAAGTTTCAATTTACCCAAAAATAAATAAAATCTAAAATTTCCAACCTGAATTTGAACCCGCAACCTTCAGATTTAGAGTCAGCAGTCCATACCATTGGACTAAGCATAATTTCACAATTTTTTGTCGTTACGCAATTAACTATAAAATTTAAATTTACCCAAAAAGACATAAAATTTTAAAATCTAAAATTTCCACCCTGGATTTGCACCCACAACCTTCAGATTTAGAGTCAGTAGTCCGTACCATTGGACTAAGTGTAATTTCACAATTTTAAAGGTTACGATATTAACTATGAAGTTTCAATTTACCCAAAAATAAATAAAATCTAAAATCTAAAATTTCCAACCTGGATTTGAACCCACAACCTTCAGATTTAGAGTCAGTAGTCCATACCATTGGACTAAGTGTAATTTCACAATTTTTAAATGTTACGAAATTAACTATGAAGTTTCAATTTACCCAAAAATAAATAAAATCTAAAATTTCCAACCTGGATTTGAACCCGCAACCTTCAGATTTAGAGTCAGCAGTCCATACCATTGGACTAAGCATAATTTCACACTTTTTTGTGAGTACGAAATTAACTATTAAATTTAAATTTACCCAAAAAGACATAAAATTTTAAAATCTAAAATTTCCACCCTGGATTTGAACCGACAACCTTCAGATTTAGAGTCAGTAGTCCATACAATTGGACTGAGTGTAATTTCACAATTTTTAAAGGTTACGAAATTATCTATGAAGTTTAAATTTACCCAAAAAGACATAAAATTTTAAAATCTAAAATTTCCACCCTGGATTTGAACCCACAACCTTCAGATTTAGAGTCAGTAGTCCATACCAAGTGTAATTTCACAATTTTTAAAGGTTACGATATTAACTATAATGATTTAATTTTCCCCAAAAAATTAATACAATTTTAAAATCTAAAATTCCCACCCTGGAATTGAACCCTCAACCTTCAGATTTCAAGTCAGCAGTCCATACCATTGGACTAAGCATAATTTCACACTTTTTAGTGGTTACGAAATTAACTATGAAGTTAAATTTACCCCAAAAGACATAAAATTTCAAAAACCAAAACTCCACCCTGGATTTGAACCCACAACCTTCAGATTTCAAGTCAGCCTTCCGTACCATTGGACTAAGCATAATTTCACACTTTTTAGTGGTTACAAAATTAACTATCAAGTTTAAATTTACCCAAAAAGAACTAAATTTTAAAATCTAAAATTCCCACCCTAGAATTGAACCCGCAACCTTCAGATTTCGAGTCAGTAGTCCATACCATTGGACTAAGTGTAATTTCACAATTTTTAAATGTTACGAAATTAACTATGAAGTTTCAATTTACCCAAAAATAAATTAAATCAAAAATTTCCAACCTGGATTTGAACCCGCAACCTTCAGATTTAGAGTCAGCAGTCCATACCAAGTGTAATTTCACAATTTTTAAAAGTGACGATATTAACTATAATGATTTAATTTACCCAAAAAAGTAATAAAATTTTAAAATCTAAAATTCCCACCCTGGAATTGAACCCACAACCTTCAGATTTCGAGTCAGTAGTCCATACCATTGGACTAAGCCTAATTTCACACTTTTTAAAGGTTACAAAATTAACTATAATGTTTTAATTTACACCAAAAAGTAATAAAATTTTAAAATCTAAAATTCCCATCCTGGATTTGAACCCACAACCTTCAGATTTCGAGTCAGTAGTCCATACCATTGGACTAAGTGTAATTTCACAATTTTTAAAGGTTACGAAATTAACTATAATGTTTTAATTTACCCAAAAAAGTAATAAACTTTAAAATGTAAAATTCCCACCCTGGAATTGAACCCGCAACCTTCAGATTTCGAGTCAGTAGTTCATACCATTGGACTAAGTGTAATTTCACAATTTTTAAAGGTTACGAAATTAACTATGAAGTTTCAATTTACCCAAAAATAAATAAAATCTAAAATTTCCAACCTGGATTTGAACCCGCAACCTTCAGATTTAGAGTCAGCAGTCCATACCATTGGACTAAGCATAATTTCACACTTTTTGTGGGTACGAAATTAACTATTAAATTTCAATTCACCCAAAAAGACATGAAATTTTAAAATCTAAAATTTCCACCATGGATTTGAACCGACAACCTTCAGATTTAGAGTCAGTAGTCCATACCATTGGACTAAGTGTAATTTCACAATTTTTAAGGGTTACGAAATTAACTATAATGTTTTAATTTACCCCAAAAGTAATAAAATTTTAAAATCTAAAATTCCCACCCTGGAATTGAACCCACAACCTTCAGATTTTGAGTCAGTAGTCCATACCATTGGACTAAGTGTAAGTTCACAATTTTTAAATGTTACGAAATTAACTATGAAGTTTCAATTTACCCAAAAATAAATAAAATCTAAAATTTCCAACCTGAATTTGAACCC